TCGACATGCAGCCCGGAGGGATTGAAACGACAACCTTCCGATTAACAGGCAACCCGCTCGACCTCCTGAGCCACAGCCGCCCCACATGCATGTAACACATATGTATGTGTTATTTCAGTATACGTTTAAATGACAACGCAATACTCCAATTTTCATTTTCACATACTTGTGTGGGCATTCTAGGACCATATAAAAATGAAAATGAAACAGCATGTGACTTTTCATTTTCAAACACTTAACCTGCTCTAAAGTGGACATTATTCAAATGCAGTTAGCAAAACAGCTCCCACAGTCTATTGCATTTACATGTACATGTCACCATGAGAGCTGAGACAGAAGTGTGTGAGGCAGAATAAAACCCCAAAACATCTTGCCTGGAGAGTTTGCACAAAAACCGTCAGATGATTCCACAATGTTCAGGAGATCATCCACAAACTTGACAATGCTCTTCAGTATGTCTAGACCAAGAGGGAAAAGGGGAAGGTGAAACAGTGAGTTAAAGGAGAGGGAAGACAGACAGAGTTGAGCAGGTAAAGGAGAATTAAGAGAGAGAGAGCAGAGGCTGTGATATCTATTGATGAGGTATCTTAAAAAAAACAATACTTAAGGATGCTGTTCTGACTGCTTGGTTGAGAGCTTCATTTTCCACAAAAAGCAGAATGATGATATTACCACCTCACTTAGCGAAATTCAAAGCATTTTATCTACGATTACCTTAATCTCGCCCTCCTGTTTGCACCCCCAATGTCTTGTCACGTATAGCTCCCATTTAAATGTTGTTTTTTGGGCCGCCGTTTCAGTTACTAAATCAGATGTCCTTAATGCAACCCGTTCCCCTTCTTTTGTACAAAATTAAATTAAAAAGAAGAATGCTTAATCATTCTCTATTCAAATGAGCACCAGAACTTCCCTAGATCAGAAACATGTCTAACGCATTAGCTATTATTGCTGGCTGAGGATGAGAAAGTGTGTGGCTTGCTGAGATAATTTTTTTTACAATAAGGGACAAGAAATTTTTTAAGGCTACTATTCTTTCTGTATTTCCATTGAATCCTTCTGCTATTTCATATTTTTTGGCATGTGGTCAATTTGCATGTAAATATAATTTGCCACAGAGATGGACTGACTCATGTTGTCCTTATTCTATTACTGACATTAAACCCCATGGCCTTCATTCACATACTCTAAAATGTCTTACTTCACTTCTTGTGGTTTTTAACATTAACTTGTCCTTTTTTCAGCCTGTGGTTTTCAATTGACTGATGTGTAATATAAAAGAAAACACATGACATAATAGGAGTCTTTGCAGCTCTTCAGCCAATCATACGCAACATATCTGCTTTTATTGATTAACGATCTCACTGCTGACAAAGTTGGCGATGACCTAATTGGAATAACCTGTCATTACTATAGCTTCTCACTGTATGTCCATTTTCACCAAGTGTTTCATTTGCATTTCCCTCTGGCTAAACTCCCCTTTTCACACATTTTCCAGGTTGTATTACTGTCAATTGTGTCAGAAGTTGGTTACAAAATCATTTATCTTACTGGTTTGTAGCTTTTTATTCCATCTATTCATTGGCCCTGCATTCAAGGGAATAGCTGGTTTATTAAATGTCAAAATCTTTTAACTCACAGCACTTAAGATGCCACTGCTCTTTCCTGACTACACCAGGGGGACTGTTGCTCACTCTGATAACTGTGTGGCAGCTATAAAGCTGTTTGAATTCCTTTTATTTATTCATAAAACGCTCCTTCTAAACTACATGGTTTATATTTAAAATAAGTCTAGAAAAACAATAATTAATAATACAATGTAACATAATTAACATATGATTGATAATAAAAAGTTCAAAAATCCTGTAAGCAAAATGTTTATTTCTATTAACCCCAGCACGCTTTATTAAATTTTAGTGACTTCAGAATATCATGAAGGAACATAACAAACATATGAAGTTCAAACATAATGTGCAAATACAGCAAATACAGAATAAGGCAGGACAAAACCTTGCAAATCAGATGACCTGGTTAAAGAATCATGGTAGTAATACCCTGAAGTCCCTCAAGTTGGTATCTTAGACAAATGTAAAATGACCTGTTCTATTTTTGTACATACAAAGTTATTCAGATGGTTCGGTGAACCTGTTTCTTGGAACAGGCCCTTTATAAATACAGAAAAAACAATCACTGAGACAGACCAGCCTGTTTTCGTGTTCTGATAATAAAAGTCACCCTCTTTTGTTGTCCTTAAAAGCCTTTTACAAAGCACAGTGGCTGCAGGTGCCTGTGTTTGCTGCTGTTCACTCACACCCAGCCTGATGTAGATGCATTATTTTATCTCATAACATAAAGAAACACAATAAAAAGGGCTTTAGTCGTGCACATATAAGTATAGTGAAAAGTCAGTCAAGGACTGACAGAAGGATATAATAAATACACTGATAGTGACATCTTTAATGACTTTCATTTTGCTACTGTTGAGCAGTGCAGCAGAAAGACGATGATGATTGAAGAAAAAAGGTTTTGTAGCATGTCAAGCAAGCTGCATGGATAGACATGAAACAGCTTGATAAGGAGGTAAAAACAACAAAGAATAAAATGCCAACAGGTTGAAGAAATAAATGCAGAGTGATGTGTGGTTGCGTACCACACTTTACAAACTTCAGTTGTACTTTGGGTGTGATTGTGGGATGTGAAGACTTTAGTTTAGTAGATATCAAGACCTTTAGCAGATGGAGAGGCTGTGTAGATCCTTACTAGAAGCAGTAACTTCCTTGTGAATTATATTTAAGTAAAGCTCAAGTCAAACAACAACTAATTATTGCATCCCCCACACAAGGTTTACCAGCTGTTAACATGTTCTTTTTTTCTTTTTTATTTATTTTATTGCACACAATACATTTTGTAACTGTTGTAGAACTAACTTCAGAACTCATTCTTGTCGTACCTCTTGGATCGACAAGCAACAACGACATTGTAAATGGCTAAAGATTGAGGCCAGTACTCACCGCTATTTGTCATTTGGTTTAAATAAGACCCGCTGTGCAATCAATAGTACAATCAAACTGGGGCATCACTGCTTTTACTGCTCCAACAGAGCCAAGCTAGTTTTACACTGGACAAAGCCACAGGAGATATTTTCATTGACATATTCCTCTTTTTCTTGTCTTACACCGCACGCCAGGAAAACCCCCATCACTACTTTGTTCTGTGTTGAGGGAGCAAATTCAATTCATTCAGTTGTATGACGCAGGTATGTGTGCCGTGAGTCAGCTAAAGGATACTATATTTGGCCAAGTGTAATGTTACAGTGCGGAGACTGTACTTGCATGAAAAAAGCTGGTTATGAAATCTATATAAATTAATCTTACAAAACACTGTGTTGGGAGAGAGAGAGAGAGAGAGAGGATGACTATGTTTTGCTATTGTTCTATACTTACAAGAAAAGAAAAAGAAGAAATACTGATCTTTTCTTTTGGTTCTTTCACGTGTTGCAATTTGATGTAAGCTCACACAGTCACTTTGTTTGTTTCCCACTGACTTTGGTACAGGTAATTGCGGGCTCAAATCCTGGGCAGGGTATCCAGGTGGACCCTTAGGCAAGGTCCACGACAAATGGGCTACTGGAACAAGACATTAATGGACTAGAGCAGAAAATATGGATCTGATGTAGGGCTGGGCAATAAAACAATAATGATAATTATCCCAATATAATTTTCCTCATTATCAATATATGTTATATATATAATAAATATTTGGTTTAAGTAATTTGGAATCACGAACAAATTAGCACTTAATTTTTATATTAAAATATTTATTTTGTTGAGAAAAGGGGACTGAAAAAAGATTTACTAATCATATTTGTTTAAAAAAAAAATTTCATAATAGTTTTGAATGTTCTCTCTCAGATTTGTTCAGTGATCCACTGTTTGGCATCAAGTGTTTGTCACATTCTGACCATAAAAGAAAGTTGAACCACATAATTAACCAGCTGGTTTCTTCAATTTTCAGTCAGGAGCAAAAACCTTTAAACTCGAAAGAAATAATGATTTGACAATTATTGATATTGCATGATATGAAATTTTATTTTTATCATGATAACATTTTTGGCCATATTGTCCAGCCCTAATCTGATTTAGTGCTACTATACAAGCAATCCCAGTGAGAAAGGTTATATGCAGAGACTGTGGGATGCTTCGAAACCCATCATCAACACTGACAAAGAACAAATTCCTAGCTCAGTGTTATAACATCCGCAAACGGCAACTGCTATCACAACTAGAGATTGATGAAGTACAACAAATATGCTAAAAATATGATAAAAGGGGGAGCCAGGATGACAGGTCAGCGGATGTTATCATCATCATCCCCAGTAACAACAAGCCCTTACAGCACAGAATCAATCAACATAAGGGCGACTGATAACTAAGCTGCAGCCCAACTACAACCACCAAGATTGCCAAGGCTAAATGACAAAGTACCCTCACAAGCATACTATCCCTACTAAAGCCATAACCGAGACCAAGCGGGTGGTGATGGCGCATGGATAAGACGCCTGCCTTTGGTGTGAGAGCTCCAGAGGCTTTGGATAAATGCATCAGCTAAATAAATAAATTTAAATGTAATGTAATGTGTGTGTGTGTTTATAGACAACCATATCTCATCTGGTTGAAACCAATGTCCTAGATTTCCTTTGTTGCAGCCCTGTCTCTGTAAAAAGATAATGCATTCATTGCTTTTTGAGAGAGCCTGCCTGTTAGGTAAACAATGTTCCACTGAACAGAGGACAAGGTGTGTGAGAGAGGCTCATGTCAGACCCATTTAGAGTAAAAGCAGGACATCAGCAGGGTGTGTGTATGAGAACATTAGATCAACTTTATTTTTTTTCCACTGCACTAATAGCACAAAGAACGTGTAGAAAAGGGATGTGAGACCAACTTTTGATTTTTGAAGTGAAAACAGAAAGAATGTGCTGGACAATTGTACACCTGTTGATCCTGATGTCACTCGACGGTCTGTCCTGCGCTGCAGATAAGACGAAGCTTACTGTTTCCTGTCCAGAATATCAGAAGGCCCTTGGAGACTCCTGCTATGAGTTTGTGGGTCTCCAGCATACTTTTTTCAGTGCTCAGGCTTGGTGTGAGAAGCGTGGGGCACACCTTGCATTTGTCCCAGATGAAGAAACTCAACATTTCCTTCAAAGACACTTGGACAGCAAGAAGGACGTGTGGCTTGGACTAGCACCTTCTGCCGTTACAAGCCTGCAATATTCTCCAACTGTTGAAGGTAAGAAGGCCGAAATGTGGAACACAGACAGCTGCTGCGCTGCCATGCGGATTATTCTCACCTTAGACAGATGAGTTTAAATATACAGCAACAACAAAAAGCTCATGATCAAGTCTCAAGACGAACATGTAGTAAAATATCTTTGTCAATGTAATCATGTATTTAGTTGTAAAAATTAAAATTCTACCAAGGATAAGTTTTTACAGTACAGTGGTGCCACTATTACCTCCTTGCAGTTAATTATATATCTGGAAAGATAAGAAACCCAGGATCAAATATAGCACTTTAAAAAGAGACAGGGAATCAGGAGGTCTATAACCACAACCTTTTTTTGGTCTTTAACTTTAACTCTCTTACACATTTGATTCAATCCATCAAATGCTGCAACGCAGAACACCATTGAAGAGAATAGTTAAACACTGGTGATTAATAGAAAAAGTCTTTGATGCAATTGTGTGCAATGTGTTCTCACTTTGGTATATGTCTGGGAAAAAAAGTTCCTACTGAGATATCAATTTCACTTTCCTCTGTTCATTAATTACAGCCTTTTAACTGATGTAAAGCCTTTTCTCTCCCTCACTGGAGTGGGAAATCACTTCACACACTGCAGATATTTTTGAGTGAAAAACGTACATTACACAATTTAAAAATAGTCTGTACTTACCAGGTGTCTCTATTTACAACAAAGGTGTTCGCTTGGCAGATAAAATTACCCACTTCTCCAATGTTGGAACTGTAGAAGTAAAAAAGGATTTAGAAATTATTATACCCAAATTAATAGGTACATCTATTCCTTGCTTCTATCTGTTTTATGATGTAGCTCATATCTATTTGTTTATATATATTTTGTAAACAACAGAGATCGATCTATAGCAGAGGAATAAACTACTATACTTTGGTAACACAGGCAATCCTTCCATACATTATTGATGTTCTCATTATTTTATGAAATTTGTTGATAGTAAGAAAAAATATACCCCCGGTTTTGCACGTGATTGTGAAGTCCATATGTGTTACTGTTTGTTACTGCAGCCTCACAGGCACTGATGCCCAAGAAAAATTTCCCTTAGAGGAAAAAAAGTTGATCTTGATCTTTATCCTTTAAACCAATAAATGCTATTTCATTTTAATGTTAGCCTTTTTTGAGTAAATGTTGAAGAGTGAAGAATGGGTAGAGTGGCCCTTTAGGGTCGCTGAAAACTACAGAAAACTGTGAATTCAACCAAATGTACAGAAGCAAATATACATGAAACAATAAATGTAATGTTTTCTTTACACTATATTTAGGTCATTGTAGTTATAGGCACTTCAGCTCAACGTGATCATATGTTCAGCAGTGGTTTGTTCCATCCTCAGGTCCTCTCTCTTGGCTGGATGGTTCACAAATCACATATTCAAACTGGGTGAGCAGCCCACAGCCAGGAGCAGCATGTGGACTCATACTGGGAAACTCTAGCTTCCAATGGAAAGCCACAAGAGACTGCAACAAAGAACTGCATTTTATCTGCCAGTTTCGTATGTATTCTGACTCTAACCTTGAAAAAACAAAATCATACAGAATCATCCTGAATAAATGAATAACAACTTTGTGCTGCTTTTGTATGCTTTCCAGAGTCTGGGAGATCCACTGTGTGTGCAGGCCATAACACCACTCTGCAGTGTGGTTCTGGTCAAGTCTTAATGATAGATGACAGCTTCTACGGTCGTAAGAACATTTATTACTGTCGATCCACGCACTCCCAGTCCACATCAGCAACACCCACACAACATCAGTGCGGCTGGGTGGATGTTGCAGAATCATTAACAGGTAAAGCAAGGTCAAATAGTTTTTTTCTTTTGCAATAAAAACATTAATTATTTCAATATAATTCAGTTGTTGGTAATCCAGAGGTGGTAACTGATTTGATTTGCGCGATAACCACTCTCAGCTTTATAATAGTTCCTTGCATTAAATCTGTTGAACTCAATAAGAAACAAATCAGAATAGGAAAACAAATATATGCATGGATGAAAGCCATGATGAAATTCAATCCACTTTTTGAAGGAAGTGAGCCAGATTTTACAAAGCACATATTGTCTCACTACAGACTATTATCTGCAAAGAATGATAGCCTGGCAGGACACTAATGGAAGTAAAAACAAACAATATTTAATAATAGCTTAATAGCATTAAAGATACATCAGTGGCATCCATCCCTTTTAGAGTAAATATTAGCTCATGCATTTAACTAATGGCATAAGCAGACCATGCAAACATCCTTATCTCATTCTGGTTTGAGCATGCATTGGGTAAAAGGGAGGGTACTGTCGTGCAAATTGTGTATTGCTGGTGAGGGATTAAGCAAGTCATTGAGTAACAACAAACCATTGTCTTTGAAGAATTTATTAATAAAAGAGAATAAACAGAGAAGTACTGAATCACTTATACAGCTGGTCCAGAGACCTGCTGCCTGGGGCAGCTTTGGGCATCTGGCCCCAAGCAAAGGGATGCATAATCATTTACACAGTCTACATTTCTATGTTTTGAAGAACAGAGATCCTCTCCTCGAATGTTCATTCAAGGAGAGGAGAGGAACAACAAAAGAGGGAAAACATTAAACAATCTCCCAGCTCTGAACTAAACCCTAGTAAATGTGGATGGACTAACATAAGGAGCATAGAAGAAGGAAAGGTTAAGGATAAAAACACAATACATATATCTCTATAAGACATGACAATATTAGTAATAATAATAATAATAATAATAGTAAAAGATCTTGCATAAAAGATTAAATGCAAGAGGACACAATTTTTTGCCATAACAATCCTCCCTCTGGCCATATCAAGCCATCCTGGTATGAGGAAGCGGACAGTACAGGAGGAGAGGGCGAAGCAAAGGGCAAAAGTGGACAGAGAAGTTGTACAATTTTTAAAACAGACTGACAAGAAAAAAAAGAAAACAAATGGACTGAGCTGGAGGAGGCGGGACGGACGCTAGTGACAGGATCCAACCAAACACAATTTTCTGCCATAACAGTTACGCCCTGGCCACGTCAGAAGGCAATCAAAAATAATCAAATATTTGAACAATTTATAATTTTATATTCACCTGACCTTCATGTCATTAAACAGCCAGTAAACCCACACAGATGTAACAGGATTAGAATGATGATTAGAATGTTTTGCACTAAAACAGCACCCGTTTGTGTGAAAGGGGCTATTACTTGTGCTAATCATTTATGCTAATCATCAATGCTAACTGCTAAAATTCCAGCACATGCTTACATCCCAGCTTTGCATATAAACCAAAACAAATGCTTGAGGTATTTTACTACTATGCTACTAAAATACTGTTACAACCATAACAGTCGCTATACAGTACTCTTACATGTGCAAAACACATTTATGACTCTGAATAGTCAGCAACACTGTTCAATTTGGTGCTAGGTTAACTCAATATACATCAGCTCTGCTATTGCCCTTGACTTAAGGCGACCAGATTTGTGAAATGAAAGCCGGGTACATTTTTTGTTTGTTGGTCAGTATGTCATTAAAAATATAATGTTATTATATGAAATAAAAAAAGGGGACTATTTCGGTTTTATAATCTGTCAAATATAACTTCAAGAAACTGGGCGATACTGCTTTAACATGCTGCACGCGCTCCTGCGGACAGCAATCACTTTTCGGCGGACGATCACTTTTCGGCATGACACCTGTGTGCTCTGCTGTCCAGTCTTTCTGGCCACGTAAAATCTATGATTAATACACAGTTAAAAACTGGGACATTTCTAGGGACAGCTCCAGACGAGGACAGGCTACCAAAACCGGGGACTGTCCCCGGAAAACGGGGACGTCTGGTCACCCTACCATGACTGTATACTGTCTGTAAGCCCAGCATAAATCTAGCTTGCGGTGGGATTGATGCGCCATGGCTTTGCTAAACTTAGAACACCCTCTGCTGACCTTTAGCAGACACACATAAATTAGCACAAAGAATACATTAAAGTTAAAAATATTTTTTAATTTTGAAAGGGGAGGGGTTTCTCGTATGCATTTAGAGTTCAAAACCAGTCTTTACACTGTACCGTCATGTTCATCACATATGCACTGTGCAATTGGTTTATGTTCCCCTTATGGGCCACAGGGATAACATTATTGAGAAATCCACCAGCTGGTCTGCTGTGTTCAAAGCCAGGTCCATCCTGCTGAGTCACCATGCTGCCGTCAGTTGATGTTTAATTCAGAAAGTTCACATCAGGTGATGCTGATGGCATACACATGATACCTAGGCTATAGCACAAATTCCTTACACCATTTAGAGAAAAAGCATTTAGAAACACGGAGCCAGGTTTTAGAACGTGATGGCTGCAGCTCAGGTGGTCAAGCAGGTCGTCCAGTAGTTACTGGGTATGCAGTTCCCTTTGGATCCTCCTGTCTGCATATCTAGCATCCTCGAGCAAGAAACTGAACATGAGCTGTCCAGGGACTGTGTGAGCGTGTATGTGGGTGAATGTGAAGTGCTTTGTTCTGTGCTCATATTAGAAGTATCACAGAAGTGCAGTCTATTTATGATGATGATGAATGTTTTCTAGGGTCGTTAGTTGAGTAAAATGTTGATGTTAGCACAAACATTTCTCACTGGGACACTAGAACGGCTAAGTATGAAGTAGTAATGGGTAGAACTTCCCGTCATAATGTCATTAGCATTGCTGTTCGTTATCAGTGGCTGATATTTTTCTCCATGTGTTTCCCAGCCCACTGTCATGGCCGTCAGGTCTGCCAGATTTCTGAAGTTATGGACTCTTTTGGTGAACCCTGTCCCCAGCTGGGGAGCTACCTGTCTTTGGACTACCACTGCAAAGATGGTAGGTCACAGTAGTTAAATTTTAAACCTTTCAAATGGGAATCACACTTTACTTGCAGTAGAAGACACGCAGATCTGATTCTGATTCTGTTTCACATCCTACCTTTTATTATATCATCCATGTGCAAACTGCCATGTTCAAAAGCTGAAACCAATAAATGAACAAATAAAGAGGTAGTCTATGATATCTACAGACAGTAGATGCTGGCTCCAAAAAACACAGAGATTATTTACTTTATCATTACTGTTATTTACGTATTTATTTTTGTTTAAATGTCTGTTTATTTTCATTTTTTTTGTGCCTCTTGAAAATAAGATGCCTAATGTTATTCTGAAGCTCTGCGGTTTACAAGTGAGTTGTCTGAACTCTACTGTAGACTGGAGTCTATTAAACTAGGATAAACCGGTTGTGGGTCACAGCTCTCCCTCTTCCAGTGGTTTCGTTATTGTGTGTTTTAATGCTGTATGACTGTTTTCTTTAACGATTTACATTCATGATTAGGCTGCTGTCAGTGCATCTTGACCAATCCTGCCGTGGTGGGAGATTTAAAGAATTAATGAAGTTATGTTGCTGTGCCTCACGCATAAATGTGCACAGTGTCTCTCTTAATGGGGAGCATCTTATTATCGGAATGATGCACTCTTTAAATAGCAGGAAAATATTGAGCCACTGACTAAACACCACTACCAATGACACTTTGCACCGTTCTGCACGAGGTGTAAGATAGACCAGTCAGTTATGTCAGTTATTTTTTTACCACAAGACATTATGGTCTTAATAGCTAATAATTTCCAGTATGTATCTTGACTCAAAAGATATTAAGGCTTAATCAGAATATGTTTCGGATCTTGGTTTATTAGATTGACAGGAGTCAATCACTGATAGCCATGAGGGGCAGCTACCTTGTTTTCTCTTAGCTTTACTCAGGCTGCCGCCCGTGGGCCTTTTACACAGAAGACATTTTGACATGTCACAGCTGGAAAAGCACAGGTGTAAATAATACATTTAATGCTTCAGATTCAGGGTCCTAATATTATGCATTCTTGACACTGAATAGAACGGAGCCATTGTTAATGTTATTAGTAACACCTGTGCTTTTCCCACTATGACAAGTCCAAATGTCTGCTGTGAAAATGGCCTATTTTTGCTATTGTTTTTTTTTTTTCTGGACCCAGCAACTGTCAAGTTAGTTTCAAGCTGTAAACCAAAACCTTTAAAATGTCCTTTCAGAAATCCATGTGTGTTATGGTTCACAGACTCAGGTTCAGGCTGTGACCTCAATGTGTGTATCAAACCCATTAAACCCTAAAAGGCAAAATCCATCAACTACTCAAAAAAAAAATCAAACATTTAAATCTGACAAAGGGGATGTTGGTTAAAATGTATTTATTCAATCTGTCAATTTCATCATATCTCATGATTTCAATATCAGCAGAGCAGTTACTTGTAGAGAGCAAATGACAAACGCAAGAAGGAACTCTTCAAGCAGCAAAAGATACTGAGACAGAGCAAAACAGATGCATCACATTGATGGTCTCTTATTGGTGCCGTATTAAATATCCCTGTAGTATTTGTGCCTGTCTGCCAAGATGATGAGGATCTGTGTTTGTCTGTTTTTATGGAAGCCTTGTTGGTTACAGGCACTGGTCATTTTCTCCCGCCAGGGCTCACATTGTCAGCGATTGCTGTGGCTGCTGTTTTTGATGACATCACCATCACTGTAAAGTGGCTCTTAGATTTGCCCCGGGGAAATCTTAGCTGCAAGCTGAGTACAGGAGATGGCCATGTTATTTATCTGCACAGTCCAGAGGGGTGAGTAGCAACTGTTACAGAGTGACTGAGACTGACTATGTGGGTATAAAATAAGAATCGAAAAATGTATCCTGCACACACAGATTCTCCTCATGAAGGTCCGCTTACACTCAGTTGTATAATGTTTTTTGTGGATCTGGACTGAACTTTGTCAAGTTTGAGAAAATAAATGTGACGATGCAATGATTTGATTGAACATGTTACAATGTTTAGGGGTAGATGCTGAAAGACATTTAACAGTGAAGCAAGGCCTCACAAAAGACATTACTAAGAGGATTTATAGGAAATGTACTAGCCAGCATTTTGGAGGAAATTACTGTGATCACTAACTGTTTCTATTTGTGCTTTTTCTCAGGTTGGAGAGCATTGTGGTGTACAAATATATATATCCAAGTACATTTGTTGTGGCAGTTGAATGCACCAGCAGTGAGATGCACATTGTCGCTCAGAAAATAATTACCATTCAGGAGCCCATCACACAGTTTGGCATCATCAGATGCTGTGCTGGGAAACTGTGTTTTCATGCAACCAACTGCAAAGCCCTTTACGGAGAGCCATTTCAAACTCAAATGGAAGTAAAAGCAGGTAAGTGCCAAGATGTCCATAATATACCCTAATTCATACTGTGCAATTTGATATTGCTGCTTAAAAGCATGAGGTTCTATTCATTCAGTTTATTTTTTTGTGTATTGGTTGACTTTTTTTCTCTTTTCTTTCTGCAGGTACAAATGTGACCTACAGAATCCAGAGTGCTGAAATATTGTTGTCCGGTTTATCTGTTGTGAGGGGAAATGTTCCCCAGAACATCACAGTGACTCCAGAAATGGTGAAACAGCTTGGGCCCGGCTGCCACAAGCTGACCCTTTATGCATCTAACATGGTCACATTCCCTGATGTGTCTGCAGACCTGCAGGTAAATCAACATTAATCATGTGAAAATGATAATGAATCATCCCTTCGTGTTTTTGTTATGATTGTTATAGTAGGTGTATGAAATAGAAGATTTAACATTTTGATCATTTGATTAAGCAGCTGATTGAAGAGTTTAATCAAAAATTAAATGTAACCTTTGGTATTAGCATCCCATCACCTAATTAGTGGCGTATCTGTAAACACCAGAATACAGTGGATGCATACGGTCTGAAATTGTATAATCTGAAGTTAAATCAAAGATGGATTTGATGGTGAGCAATTCTGGTGAAATCAAATCCCATGAGAGTGAACAACAACATATCAAGTACTGTAACAAACGTTAGCTGAGTTGTGGGTCAGCTAACTGTTGCTACAGTTGCTACTGCTCCGCTAACATGCAGAGATGAGAAACAAAAACATGTTTCTGTGCATTTATGTTATTTGATCATAGAATAGAAATAGTTTTACAACCAAAACAGGATCTTCTTGGCACACTACCAGCTCCTGCCGATCATAGAATAGTGTGGGGCCATTGGCAAGAATGTTTATTGCGTCACTCGTGCACTTGGTCATGTGCGTCTGCATCCTTAAGCACATGCCTAGAACCAAGAAAACAGGGATCCACTCGTAAAAATGTTGCTCTATAGCACTACTAGTGGTCAAAAACTCCACAGCGTCCCTTTAACAAATTAATTATTAAGAAGCACCAATAGCACAATAAAAATGTATTCATATTTTACCATTTACTAAAAACAGGTTATTATGCATAGGTACAAATATATTTGGGGTTGCCAGGTTGTGAGCCTTTATCCTTTGCTACACTCCAGTGAAAAACCGTGCTTCCACTAAAAGTACCTGGGACTTTTAATCCCAGGATCTACTTTTCAATTAACTAATAGGTTCCTTCAGCCCATTGTTGTGTGTGTTTACTCCGTGGTCTGAAGACCTGCGAAGATTAGGCAAATTAACAAGCTGATGTATGTTATTACTATGAAGTAAACCATACAATGTGACGGACAGGCATCATTATTTAGTAACGTCACTGTCCATGAGCAAAAGTTATTATAAAAACCAGATTTACTTGACCACTAAAAATAGCTAATTTGTGTGTAAGCATAATAAACACACGCACGAGTCAAATTCATAACATATTCAATAACAAACTGCATAAAGCCTTCAAGTTCTTAAAAGACCTTCAGCACATAAAAACATTTTGACAGGTGTTGATATTGAATGGGGCACCTCAAACGCCGACTGACATTAAAGCATTTGAAGCCGACAAAAGGTTGGCTTGCTGACACCCACCGTCCGCTGAAGAGACACAATTGTCATGGAGAGGAGACAACCTCGGTGGTAATTCAGCTCCCGGGATAAACACCTGAAGGATCAACACTGAAGGACAAAACACCAGGAAACAAACTGAGCACCTAAACTGAGCTAACGTTAGCAGCAGCAGTTTGGCTTGCAGCACTCACTTCCTGTTTCTGCCTGAGAGTCGGAGGAACATGATTTTTAACGTGGTTTATTACATGTTATAATCAGCCTGTCCATTTGTTTTGGAGAGGAGGAGACCTATTTCGCCTCCTTGTAGAAACCCCCTGAACAATAAAAGCCTAAAACAATAACTCTGGACCCTGTATTAGCTTAACTCCATTAGCTGTTAGCTGTAAACACACCGCAGGCCTAGCTGCACACTGGCTGCTATTTCTGAGCTATAATTATAATACCAACGTACGATCTCAGGCCGACATCAGCAAGACTTGTATGTTCTATCTGGGTATTGATTGTGATTCATTGGTTTGAAAATGTCATTGGGCCAACAGTGGAAAAGAGATGAGCAGTAGTAGCAAAGTATATTTGAAACACCTGAAATGCTCAACTTAAAGCAAGTAGCAAATGTTCAGCACTGCAAGCCCCACCCTCCAAAATTCTGGTACTTAGGAAAGTACTACCCCACAAGCAAGGACTTTTTTTGGGGGGTTAAATAGCATGAGCAGCACATTAGTGAACAGTAGCTTCAGTGCTCCATGATGCATTCAAGCACTGTATTGAATTAAGGATCACCCACATTTTGGCAGCAGTCAGAACCCAATACACAATCACGAAAATAGACTTGAAGTGTAAAAAATACGCTTTGGGACACGTTTAAGAGCGTATAGTGCCAGTAAAATACAAACTATTAAACCGTCTGTGTGGACACGCTATTATACTTACCAAATCAGTATCTGTTGTGTTGTGTTTCTGTGATATGAAAGAGAAATTGGTTTTTCCGTTTTGTAATTCTTCATATATTGCAGATGTGTGTGTTGGAGAAAGTAGCCGGGCTTCAGGCCTCTGTGTTGACAGAGAGGGATGATTGTCTAGACTCTGCAGATATTACAGTTGGTGTTTCCCTTGAACGGGGAGCGCCTGTGCTACTCCTCTTTTCTCTGGCTGGAGACAACAGCTCATTCTCTGAGACCAGAGAAATGAATTCAAAGAAGGAAATTTTTCATATTGGCCACCCGATTCAAGGTATGGGAGGCATGAAAAATGGGGGCCACTTATGAGGCAAAATACCTCTGTAATGTAATTATTTGTAAAGCACTTTATCAACAACCATCTACAAAAATCTACATTTCTCATGTTTCAGCTGTGTATGTCCAGATTTTATTTACCAGGCTTGAATATTCATTATTTTCATAACTGAATATTTTGCTACAGAATGTGTACAAGTGAAACTCAGAGCATGGAACGACTTCTCTTCTTTGGAAGTGGATGTGGATATGTTTTCTTCCTGTGGCAAGGATACACTTGTTCAACTAAATGGTCATAATGACCATTTGTTAAGATTTAACAAGAGACAGGTAAAATGTTTTCCTTTTACATTCAACAGTATAGTCATATTTTATATTTAGGGGAACAATACTTACCCCCTCCAGCTCTTTTACTTTTGTTCACAATATTTAATGGTTTGTCTTTTCCCCTCATCTTAAAGTGTATCCTGCATTATTCAAGATTCCTTTTGTTCACTTTCATTTTCAGAGAAAGAAACATATTAGAGTGATCAGATCTGCAGTTAAAATAATTGCAACACCTTCAGCTTCAGTATCTTCCAAAGCTATAAGCATCACACTTTCAATAGATGACCCATCCAAACTACCTAACGGGAACATGCAATACCAGTGGTCTTGCAGTAAGAATCATGCTTTTTCTACTCTTTTTCAAATAAACATGAACACTTTTGTAAGCTTACAATTGCAAGTTTAATACTTATGTATAACAAGTTTTACCAGGTAACATATTTTGATCTATTGTTTATCTTTTGATTGTGTGAACAGCATACTAGGCTGTAACATTACATGTAAAGGAGTTTGCTAAGCTTAGTTAGTGTTGGTATGCTATCTTGAGTAACTTTAGCCAAACTCATCAAGGTCAACAACTTTTTTTAACGTAACTTGTAATCCCACAGATTAATATTAATAAAGTTGCTTTATGTTGCCTATACATTATCTGCTCCCCTGGTCATGAAAGTAATACTCTTACTACTAGGTAGTAAGGTATTTAGACAGATATGCTAAAGATTGTGGCCTACGTTCAAGCAGATAAACACATGTCTTTTGTGTTTTGGAAAGGTAATTAAAAAAACATACACAATCATCATTGGAAGAGTCTAGCAAATCTCCTGTGATTCCTTTGCTTAAAGTCCAAGATCTGCTGTTTTCAGATCATTAGTAAAAAATTAGATCTGTCAGTTACTGAGTAATTCCTCCAAAATATGCCAAAAAAAGCTGATATTTTTCATAGCCTGAAGAGACAAACTCATCCAGGCCAAAGACTGACAGAAATGAAGATCCCTTTTTTACAATATGGTTAAAGAAGCTGTGGTTGTTGACTATGTATCTGAACACGTTAACATGAGGGGTATGCCAGACCTTTCAAGTTTACCAAATAAGGAGTGATGTCTGTCTATCCCTCTCCAATGATCCAGTGCGGTACATATTTAGATACACAGTCCAAATCCGATACAAGATACATAGGGCTGCACGATTTGGAGAAAAAGTCATATTGCGATCATTGTAGACAATATTGCGATATGTGTATTATAATGGAACAAATGGTACAATGAGTCTACTTGCTTAATTACGGAAAATGCACAAAATGCTGACATTTTGAAATGTGTATTTCTCAACTTGAACAAAGTTAAACAATAAACAATATTTACAACACTAACTAGTAAAGCAGATGAAAAACAGATCAAGGGGAGCATATTGCTCTATGGAGGAGGCGGCTCAATGTACGTCTGTCTACTGCAGAGTCTCTATCCACAACTTGGAGGAGGAACTGTACATGAGTGTATTAAATAAAGAGTATAATGTTTAGTTAATAGCATACTGCTAGTATAACAATAATATTTAATAGCCTGCTACATTCATGAATTTCATATAATATTATACTTTTTACCACTAGTTGAATATTATATTCAGTTACAGGATTAACTGTTATAGTTATAGTTATAGTTTAATTTCTATAGGTCGTTTTTATTCATTATATCCTTGTGCAGGAATAAGGCTCTACATTGGTCTCTAATTTGTTAATGCTATGTACTAACTTGTCAATAATTATATTGTTCAACAAGTTTGCTGTAGCGCGTCAAACTTTTTTTAATGTCCCGCCCCACCCAGGCAGTGATTGGTCGGTGGACGAAAAGTGAAACTGACAAGCTCTTTGAAAAGTTGAACATGTTGAACAACAAAAGGCACAGATACAGCTAACGTTAATTGCCAAACCCAAAGCTTGGTTATCTTCTCCCAGTTTTCTCCTGTCTTACCACTTCAGCTGCTGCCGAAGTCTCTCTGCCTCTCTCACAGAGCGATCGGAGTATTGGTGGCGGTCCCACCATGTTTATCTTGTTGTCAATGTTGTCTTAAAGTTACTCGAACACTGCTCATAAATCATTTTTCTCATTGCTCGTAAGCTTATTTGTTTTTACGGGCACGTGTGAGAGCCCCGTGTGGGCGGAGATAATGAGCAGACTGCAGCGCACTCAGAGAAGAGAGCGTCACACACACTTTTTCTGTTTTATTAAATCGCACCCATTTTGCTCATATGTAATTGCACGACACCATCGCAATTGTGATTACATTAATCGTGCAGCCCTAAAGATACATAACACCCGTGATGTGTATACATAACTATAAACTGAACATGAACTGAACATAAACAACATTAAATGTTTTGCATCAGCATTTCAGTTGTTACTGCAGTAGAATAATGACTTTCCATGTTGATTCACAGGAAATCCATGTGTTTGTGAAGGGGGTTCCTCAGGACTGACTCACACCATTACACCAAACTGCCTACCAAATCCGTTTCAGTTTAATAATTACCATTTTAATGTGATAAACAATGGTAATAATGTGGGTGGTGGTGAATCCATATGCATCACCTTTACCCCATCTCAGAACATGCCAAATTGGTTAAGGTACTTAATGTTTTTGAACTGATCCGCTCTGATCACTAAGCGCACTGAACCTGAAAATATTTCCTGTTTAACTGTGTTTTTCGTACAGTGGAAATCTGCCACTTAACATTTATGACACTATTGAAGTTATTAAAAGAAATGAAACTGCTTCACAGAGGAAGCAGAACGAAAATTGTTTTTTAAAGACATTTTGACCTATCATAAATTTCCAAACAAATTAAATTGTTCATCAGTCATGGAGAAAAGTGTAAATAGGTTGTGTTTTTACATTTTACCCTCATATGGTTTTATTGGACAGCATTTTTGAAATGTAAATGTTCCAGTTGAGTGTTAACCAAATTATCTTTGTTGTACCATAGTTTTAATTGTACTGAAGGCTGTTACCCAGTAACAGAAAACAAGGATGCAAAAATTGAAATGAAATGTAAAACCCAGTGTCCACATGTTGTGTGGAACATTGAGGACCCAGGAAACAGCAACGGTTGGCCAGTAAGTCTGATAAATTAATCTCCAACATTGTTAAATGTTGTAAAAAAAAAAAATAAATTCCATTGACTTAATGACTTTACATGTTAATTTATTTACAGGCTGAGACAAAGGACTGCTACAATAAAGCAAATCAAAGACCACTTATAAATATACAGAATGGTGGGAATGAATACACTGTGAAGTATTCCTTTCTAGCACAGGCAAAGTCTAAAAATCGGGATGTCACTGTAGTGATGACTTCTGGTATGTGCACATTTCTAAAATTATGTTAAAGCTGCTCTGTGAATTATCTTGCCATTGTCTATTAATCAATTTAAGGTTCCAGACCAATTATTAATTTGTCCAATGTTGCAAAAATTTATAAGTAGTAAGTAAGCATTAATAATGAGAGTAGTTTTGTCTGGTACATCCTTGGTTAACTGAAGGCTAAAGTTTGATATATGCTAGGGAATTAACTACACACGGTTTATTTAAAGGATTGATTTTAATGTTGTAGGTCTTTCACTGTTTATTATTTAGTCAAGTTTAACAAATCAGTTTTTCCCAAAATGTCACCTTTATTGTTTTGGAAATAATACACATTACACATTGTTCTTTTTCTTTTATACAAAACAGATGTCGTAGCTCTTTGCAATAAATTCACCATAGAGACATCATCATCATCATCATCATCACCTACAACGAAACCAGCTTCTACCACGACATTGCATGGCACTATTAGTGCCACCACTATCTCCTCTACCACTGCTGGTTCTGCCACGACATCGCATGGCACTATTAGTGCCACCACTATCTCCTCTACCGCTGCTGGTTCTGCCACGACATCGCATGGCACTATTAGTGCCACCACTACCGCTGCTGGTTCTGCCACGACATCGCATGGCACTATTAGTGCCACCACTATCTCCTCTACCGCTGCTGGTTCTGCCACGACATTGCATAGCACTATTAGTGCCACCACTACCGCTGCTGGTTCTGCCACGACATTGCATGGCACTATTAGTGCCACCACTACCGCTGCTGGTTCTGCCACGACATTGCATGGCACTATTAGTGCCACCACTACCGCTGCTGGTTCTGCCACGACATCGCATGGCACTATTAGTGCCACCACTATTGCTACTGTTACTACCTCCCCTGCTCTCAGTGCTAGCACTGGTGTTACATCATCAGCAACCACCACCAAGAATGGTGCTTTTTCCACAATGGCCTCCAGCTCTTCAGTAGATGATCTTACGGCTTCAGTGGAGAATGCTGTGGCTCAGCTAAAGAAACAAGGTCTACTGTCAGGAGCAAATCTGGGACAAATCATCTATTCTGTGTCCACTACACTAAACGGTCAATCTGATAAGTCAACAAAAGCAGATAGGCAAAAGGTAAAAATACTCTGATTATAGATATAAATTACTAAAATTTATGCAAACATCAATTGGACTGTGAAAATGTCAGTGCATCTGAGCAAGTAGTGCCTCAGTGGTTTAGATCCATCCAAGAATCTTCACAACTTCACTCGCAAACATCCCTTAACCAGATTGTAAAATGTTTGGAGGAAATCCATTTGCACTTTTCACACTTACAAGTTAATTTCTAGAGAGTTCTGTAAAAAAAAATTGACCGAATTCCCCCCGCCATTATACTAAACAACAGTTGGGTGTCGTCACAAGTACACCAAACCACACCTAACCACTATGATCCTGCGTGGGGTCAGAGGTTCCACAGGCCAGTACTGCAAAGCAAAGGATTTTGTGTAGAGTTACTCCTGATACTAGCCCTAACACCACATAAGTACACTGGGGAAGAATAGTAAACAGTGTTGGGCAGTGAAAAATTGCCACAGAAATATTACTGTAGTGTAAGTACTAAAGCGGCGTATTGAATTTGAAATCCAGAAACCAAATTGCACTTACTGATTACAGTAATTTGATTTTAATGCTTCAAGAGTTAAGCTAGCTTTTGATTGTCAGTAAATACGTACTTAAATCATAATGTCTTGTTATGTACTTATTCACATGCCATTTAGAAGATGTGACTTGTTGACATGGAGAACTGTACCTTGGATAGAGCTGAGTTGAGTAATGCAAATACCATAACAAAAAATATATCTACATTTGCAATTGAGTAACTAATAAAGTAATGCAATGCCTTTTTATGGAGTAATAGGTAAAGGGTGGTGGATTACATTATCACTTAACCTGCCCAACACTGATTGTAAAGGCATGTATGATAAGCTTCTGTGTTCCTCCCCTTGATGTTTGATGTCTTTGTAACCTTCCGTCACTGCGGCCGACACAAATGTTCAAGACTCAGTTAAGTCGGTCCATGCCCTAAGTACAACCTACAGAGAGACAGTGTGTCGTGACATCAGAAACAGAAATCATCTGTGTGCAAAATATATTGTACTACTAAATACTAAACTAAATAACAAAATCATGAATACTTAATGCTTTTGTCTGTTGAAGCTTCGTGAGCAGATGCTGGGGATTATGACTGACACAATTAGCAAAATCCCCCCAAACACTCCAGCGGATGTTCAGGCGATTACCAAAGGAGTTTCTGCTCTCGTCCAGAAAGGCACTGAACTCAGCTCCTCTGCTCAGGTACGACCAGTGAGTAAAAAGTGACTTTATAGGAGGGAGGAATAAATCAGTCATGTTAATGAATAGCCATTGGGAGGACAAGGCTGTCTTAGTTCAGGCTTGTAATTTTTGTATATTTGATGTGTTTGAATGTCCATGAATATCCTAAAAATGTCCGTGATTGTCAGAATCTATTCCCACCTTCAGGTAGAGGCTTCATTATTGTTTGCAAACCTCAGCTCATCTCTCCTCCACATGAATTTGAACAAAAGTGAAGAAAGCAAGAATGAAATATTCTCTGCAACCAGCACCATTGTGGAAGGAGCAAGCAATATCCTGGACTATTCTTCCAATGTGAGTCGTTTAACGTTTAAAGCCCATGCTGACGTGATTTACCTCACTATGTAAGGTTGGATGATTTAAATATTACAAATGCTGATCAGTGACTGTAACCCATCAAGAGCACATATAGTATATTTGCAACTTTGCTCCTACCAGGAACATTAGTTCTGAAACACCCTATTTAAGCGCTCTACTATAGCACATGGTCTGATGTGCATGGCCTAGGTACATTTAGGGCATGTCCAGCTCCACTTTGCTAGTTAAATGTTCAAGACCAAGACTTTTAGGGGCTGAGACTAAGTCGAGACCAAGACCGAGGGAGGGCGAGACCGAGTCAAGGACAAGACCGGTTCCCCACATTACATGACACACAATTACTACTTCTCAAAGTGATCTGAAAGATCCACATTCCCATTAAAGCACCCACATACAGTCTGAACACTAAGAGCTGAAATCAACGTAAGCATCTTTATTCAACACTACTTTTATGTGCTTACTATTGCGGGTAGCTGTGACAGTCGTTAACGGGAACAACACATTTTTAAGTAGGGTTATTGTTTGTATTTGAAGCAAAATGTTTTACATCAAATCAAAGTTAGGATGTTAACAAATAAATGAGATAAAAGCAATTTTTTTGATATTCCCAAAGTTATGGTCTTGACTTGCCGAGACAAGACCGAGATCAAATGCGGTCGAGTCCGAAACGAGACCAAGACCATCAGAAAGTGGTCTTAGGACCGATCTCGGGACCAAGACTGGTCTCGAGTACTACAACACTACTGTGTGCCTTTTTGCCTGTGTTTTTTAGCAGGCCCACTGGTCCTCCCTTTAATGTCCAAATCATCAGTCAGCAGAGTTTGCAGCTGAAACCGGTGCTTCTCAGTTTGAGGACGGCAAACAAACTATATTCCTGAGGAATATGTTTGTCTATTATCAACCACTTAGGCAAAAATGTTGTCAGGAACAATAAGTTTAGTGACCAGGAGCATGGCCAGTGATTTATAACCCATCTTCCCTGAAATATCCATCTTGAATGTCTAAATTTGCAGGTGACTGACATTTTATTCCAAACCTCTTCATTGTTTTAAATGCCTTGTGTTATCCTTTGCAGGAAAACGTATCTGGTGCCCTTCTTCTTGCAATGACCAACACACAGAATGCATTGTTAATGTTTAAAGATGCTAATGAGGCGCCAACTATTATCCAACAAGCTCATATTGGTGTGTTTGTTAAAAGGTAAGTTCCTCTTCAGCCAGAAGTTGTGACTCAATTAGACTTAAAGAAATAATCCAAAATTTGGGAAATACGCTTAATTTTTGGTGGAGAGAGAGAGAGAGAGAGAGAGAAATGAGACAATTGATACCACTGTAGTCTGTATGGTATATATCAGGCTACAGCCAGCAGCTGGTTAGCATATCTTAGCATACAGACTGGAAATGGGAAAGAGTGTGGTGTTGATTTTCTCATCAAACTCTAGGCAAGAATGTCAATTATAACATTTCCATGTACTGGGAGATGAAAAACATTTAGAATTATGGGGTGCTCCTGCTTTGCATGTACTTTATTTCTGCTTTTACCAAAAATAAATATAGTGCCATCCATGAGTGTCTGTATTTTTATATGGCTAATGTTATTAACCTAACATTTATTGTGTGTAGTTAATTTAAACCTGTTAAAATATTGTTCATTTTGTTTTAAATATCTTATAAGTAACTGAAAGAATATCAAAAATTCCAAATCAGTGGCACACACTCATACTGAAGATTAATACTCCTCTCCTGCAAAACCACTTCTGAAATCATTTGGGTCTGTGCTCAAAACATTTAGGGGCAAGATGCCCAGACTGAGTTGAACACACCAGCAAACCTAGTGAAGAACACTAACAAACTAAAATTCAAAACGCATAACTGACTAATAACCAGTTAACTAATATGAGTAACTTAAAATCTTTTCCCTCAGAGTGACACCAGGAAGTTTGCACACAGAGTCTATAAATATTCCCAACAGTTCCAGCCCCACATTTTCTCTCCCAGTGCTACCTTCTCATACATTTCCATCAGATGAACCAGTGGATATACGAGTAAGTCAGTAGGAGTGCCGGCATGTTTATGTGTGTGCATGTTTTGTGTGCTACGGCTGTCCCCAAATCAGGATTTTCAGGAGTCTGCACACCAAACCGATGAATCAGCTCTAATGCTACTATATTAATTTGTCTGTTTTTATAAACACGCAGCTAAATGATGTTGCTAAAAAGAAAGTGCAGCGATTCGAATGACAGAATGCAAGGCAACTCTGGGTCTACTATACTGACTCCTCGAATCAACCAGTTTTAGGGGGCAGTGTGCAGGTTCCAGTGTTTTACACTAGGATGGTGTGCATGTTACTTCTCATGTTGTTCTCAATTTTCCAGTGTCTCACTTGCTAATGAGGATTAAAACCTACTTTTCTCCTGAAATGCATTTAAAGATGCTGAGTTTAGGTAAAAACCCATTTTCCTGGAAAGAGAGAGGGAACATCAGTGGCCTAATAGGTGCTCTATCCCTCACAACAAAAGATGGCTCCGCTATCCCTGTGGCAAACTTAAGTCAGGATATTGAGGTTTGTGCAGCGTAATGCAGAATTGCACTCTGTGAAATGTATAGTATACATAATATTATGTGAATATTTCATTTACAGTATATTAAATTAAGCACTTCACTTTTCATGTAAAATGTTTAGTAAATAAAACTAATTTGGTTAAGCATTTGCAGTGGGTACTGTATGTGCTCAATCTGCCATCTCTAATGGCAGTGGGGATAATATTTTAAGTGTGATTGAACCCAGAACTCTCATGGCTATAACTGTCAACAAATGATTGTCCATAACACTCAGTGCACTTTGTATTCAGCGTAACCCAGGTGTGCTGAGCATAATAATACTTAAATTTTGTGTCTTCCAGGAGAATAGCACGGCAGGTGTTTACTGTTTAGAGCCCATGAGTCACTGAGTTCACAAAAACTAGACTGACAGAGAACCTACAGTTTGTTTATGTTAGCATGGTGGAAATGTTGTTTATTAGTACTTTAACTTTCACAATTATTAACACACAATAGACTAGAACCACAATTAAATGGTTAATGGTAATGGTTAATAAGATTACAGAATGCTGAAGGAGAAATGTTTTACATCTGTATGCTGAATATGATCTGGATTATTATGTGGCATCTTGCCTGGTCCACAGATTTTGTTGCCAAGGCCTGTTGAAGAGCAGGTGAACACCTCTGTTTTGGACCTGGGGAACTACAGCACAACGAGCATAAACATTCTTTCAGCTAACACTACGCTGGTGTTAAAGGTCTGAGAAGTGTAGTGGGCACTTTAAATCACTTTTGGTCTACTTTACTAACTGTATTTATACCAAGATACTATTATTATGGACACTACGACTGCTAACATCATAAAATCTTCAACTGTTACCTATAATGTTTTTGCTAAATGTGCCATTTTTCTTTAATCTTAATCTCATGAGGCTAAAAAAATTTTTTTTTAAATAATGATTGATGTCTTTGCTTTTCTGGATGCACCAATTTTTGCACTGAGAATTGAGAATGCAACTTTGTCAATACATTTCAAAGATGGTGCCTTCAGTGGATCCTTTACCCTTCAAACTGTTCCTCGGTTATATGAACTACCCCACTGAAACAAATTATGCAGCGATGACAGACATGCCTCAACAAGGAACAACACAAGGTAATGAACATCATTGCTTACTGGTGAAGATATGTTTTAACTCTGATGCCTTTTAAATTTGATTTTTGATACATTACTTGAGTACATGTGCGTGTCTTTTACAGAGGAGCGATACACTTGGCTGCTAGACCCTGCAGCTTTAAAGGGAAACACTGGAAAGTACTATCTTGTAGTAAGGCCCATTGTAGGTCCAGGTATAAAATCCATCAATGCCACTTTATCAATTACCTCCATTGCTACATCATGTACATTTTGGAATAAATCAGCATTGGATTGGAGCAATTTTGGATGCAGGGTAAGTACAGTATTTTAATCGAGCTATCATTTGACAACAAATGAAAACATTTGTCCAAACTTTAATGACAATAATGTTGTCTTCTAAGGTTGGTGTTCAGACCACACCATTAGTCACCCAGTGCCTCTGCAACCACCTCACCTTCTTCGGGAGCTCTTTCTTTGTCACTCCCAACACTGTCGACCCATCACGCACTGCTGAGCTGTTTGGCACTTTTGCTCAGAATCCTGTGGTTGTCTGCTTCGTGGGGGCTCTCTTTGTGGTCTATCTCTTGGTGGTTGTGTGGGCACGGAGAAAAGACATTCAAGACATGGCCAAGGTACGGTATGTCTCCTGCACCAGAGTATAATTCAGAAGTAAAGTAACAATACCCAAAATACAGACAGTTTCAGTTACTTAAAAGAAAGACGCTTTATGTTGTTGCCTGGCTTGCAGGTGAAGGTGACTGTGCTGGCGGACAACAATCCAATGGACGAGTATTGCTACCTGTTGAGTGTCAGCACTGGGCATCGGAGAGGAGCCTGCACTTCCTCTCAGGTAAATATATTATCAGTTCAGTTAGAGATTTTCACTGCAAATAGTGAAACTGTTAAAATTGGTGAAAAGGCTATTCTCTTTGAGGGAGCAAATCATCTTATCAAGCATAGCGTTAGTTCAAGCAGGCAACAAAGTCTCACAGCTCACAATCCCAGCACATCAGCTGATAGCAGCCATTTCAGCTGATTCATCAATTCTGTACAAGGCGCCTTATTTAAGCTGCTATAGCCTGCCTGCCTTTGCTGCTTCCTCTGCATGCAGCTGATAAGCACCCAACATAAGAACAACCGGACTGTACACGCTTCAGCTTACCCCGCTGCTTGTTAGTCCTGTCCAAAAAGACGAAAATCCATGCCAGATCGACTGCATGGTGCTATTGCTCACAGCATCAGCAATATGAAGAAGAGAAGCTATCTGGCTAGCAAAATCCAAAGACTCTGTATTTGTGAAAGTCAGTGCCCAGGCTCCTGAAAGACTAATTTCAAAACTAATACTGCTGCTCCAGTCGAGACCTCTCACAAAGATCCTTTTAGATTTGAGGTTTTCCTCAAACCTAAAAGGCTGCAGTTCCTTCAACTGCTCTGTCACAAGGAAAGCCGCCAAGCAAAGGTAAAAACTACTCCTGCAATCCAGTCCAGCTGCCAACTCTGCTATGGGAAACCATCTCAACAGCATTGCCAGCATCCAGTCATCGCTCACTAGCATGAACTCTACATCCTACCACGGGAGTCCTGTTTGGACCCTCCTCAAGTTTTTCCTGGTACAGCTGGCTGTTTTCCGGCACAGGCCTCTGGCTTTCCATGTGTGCACATAGGGGTGCTCTCCCTGCCTCACGGCTTTACAACAACAGCGTTCTTTTTGTCTAGGACGAGGGGAACCTATGACTGGAGCTTGGTTTGCCTTTTGCCTTGCCTACGTATTTATAAATGTTATATTAACTGACATTTTTTATACCTACTAGCTATGGTAACTGAAACAAGTTAATATGTAGAAATTCAAGTGGCCTCACTCCATGTCATTTAGACTAACTGGCTTTACTAATGGCTTTCCACATAGGCGTATGAAAGAGTAGGGAGATCCCAGAACAGATCCATACCGCCAAACATAGCTACAGCGGTGCAAATATCAGTTTCTTTGATGAAAGCTGTCCTGAGTGAAAACAAGCATAGTTTAGTTCAGGCAGGCAACGAAGTCAAGCTCAGTTCAATCCCAGCACATGAGTGGGAATTGTTGGGCTTCTGTAAATAACATCATAGAGTATGGTCTAGACCTGCTCTTTTATGAAAAGCGCTGTGAGATAACTGTTGTTGTGATTTGGCGCTATATAAATAAAATTGAATTGAATTGAATATTTATGCCTGCTCTGTTCTGTGCCAGGGTGGTCTTTACTGCTGCTCTCTGCCTCGGGCTTTCCATGCATGCACATGGATGGGCAGAGAGGTGTGCTCTCCCTATGAACTACCTAGGAACTATACCCCAGAACTAGGAACCTTTGGAGGAACTCACTGTTTTTCCACCGGAGGGACTGGGGTCTAAATGTAATTCTGGGGTCTTCCTTTTACCCCCTAAAAAGTCCCTGCTCGGGATGTAGTACTTTCTGAAAGTACCGGGTACTTTGGGGGGGTGAGGCTTGCCTTGCAGTGAAATTCTGAATGGGCGAGTAGAGGCTACTTGCTTTAACTGGGGAATGTTGGATGTTTTAATACGACTGCTCGTCTCTTTTGCCACCTTTGTTTGAAAACCAATAAATCGCACTCAACAGTCAAGCCACACAAGTCTCGCCGATGTCTGCCTGAGGTCGTGTGTTGGCATTAAATTTAGTGGAAATAGCAGCCAGTGTGCAGCGGTGTGTTTACGCTAAATACTGGGTCCTAAGTTGTTGTTTTAAGTTTTCATCAGTCAGGAGGTTTTTACACAGAGCCGAAGTCGGTCTCCTCCTTTCCAAAACAAGCGGAACAGCTGATTACAGCAGATAATTAAGCTCATTAAACATCACGTTCCTCCGACACTCGGGGGACACAGACGTGAGTCCAGCAGCTCTTTTCGCTTCAAATGTTTTAATAACCTTCCAAACTGTCCAATTTTATTTTTGTGTTGCTTTCTCTGTGCTGGAGTTATTTTAAGAACTTTATGGCTTTATCCAGTTTGTTTGGCTAATATTAAATGTGTAACGAACTTTATCGTGTGTCTCTTCATTATACTCCCACACAAAGGCTGCTTTAATGGTCAAGCAAAGCCTATATTTTTTCATTATATTCCAGTCAAATCTGATGTTCATTTATAAATGTTGCTCATGGATAGTGGTTACAAATAATGATGCCTGTGCATCGCTTTGTATGGCTACACAACAGTGGGCTGAAGGAACCTTTTAGATCCTTAAGGTACCGGGGACTACAAATGTCATACAAGGTACTACAGTCCAATCTTGGGCAGACGAAGGGCACCAGATCCCAGACTCAGGAGGTGAAGTGGTCATGTAATTGGAAGGTTCCTGATTCGATCTCCAGCCCCTCAATTCTCTAACCGCTTCTTTATTGCATATTAACGCAGTTATTATTATTATTATTATTATTATTATTATTTTCAAAGTCTGTTTCTCACTGGCTGTGAATACACATACAATCAAACCATGGGTCACAGTAGGGGTGGAATGTTAGTCAAGTTGCAAATCACCCACTCAAACAAGCCTCCCTCCGCTGCTTGTTTGAGTGGGTGATTTGCTCAGAAGATGCCTGTTATGATGTTATGATCGTGGCTCTGGACTCTTGCTTGCTTTAACAAGCTAGATAAAAGGTAATTCCCTGTCAGTTGCAAATAGCTTTGGTTTTATATTTGATTTGATTACATTAATGTTTAAGTTGAGATTTACAAGAAATATTTTATTGCTACTGTGTAAAGAGAATACTGCTGGTAAAAAGCCCCTTATTTGTTTAAAATATTTGCAAACCACATGTAATTGTATTTTGTGTATATAGTAGTATAGCAGTATTAAAAGCGCACAATACCCTACTTTAGAATTCATTTTGCGCATAACTATGCGATTAAAAATGTATATATATATATATATATATATATATATATATATATAATATTATATTATTTAAGAATATTTAAGACTTCTTGTTCTTTAGTAATCAAATTGGATGTCTTACTGATTGTTAAACTGTTCACCCATAGCCCCCATTCCTCAATTACCCTGTATAAATGTTAGTAAAGTGGTTTAATTATTGTGTCATGGAGTATTAAACTGTTTTAGGTGATAATAACTCTGCTGGGTGCAGAGGGAAATGGGGAACCACATCACCTGACAGATCCAAAGAAATGTTTGTTTGAGAGAGCTGCAGTGGATATGTTCTTGATAACTGCACCCTTCTCTCTGGGAGACCTGCAGGCCATCAGACTGTGGCACAACAACTCGGGGAGCCATCCTGCTTGGTAGGTAAACATAAATGTCAGAGATACTGAAAATTAAAAACTAAAACTAAACAAAAAAACTGTAGTATTTTCTACCTCAGTAGAAGCATTTCTTTTAATATAGTTTTTTGGCATGTAGAAACGGTAACAAACAGTAACAGATTACAGTTTCATGCACTACATAGAAATTGAGTAACTCACTCTCAGGGTTGTTGTTTTTTTTTTGGCTGTATGCCTTTTGTGGCACACAGCTTTCATTATTATTTTCAGCCCTCAGCGTGATGAGAGTGAGCATTTCATTTTCAGTCCCTGTGAGAAATGACAAAGTAAAATTGATGCCAAATGTAGCCTACAGCCCCAATTGCAACTGTCATCACAGACCTATACTTTTGGAATGACATTTGCAGATTACATAATGGGCAGCTGACTACTTTAAGAGGATGTTGTTATTGATATACCCTAATAATTGGATGTTAGCAGCTGTTGCAGACATAAAATACATATAATTGTGACATAATGAGTGGTGTAATGTGCGGATCGGCTCTGACATAAATAATTTACTCCAAGACCTACACCCTGCAGGCTGTCACAGCAAATATCGTGAGACACTTAAGAGAAGCTGTTTCACTCCAAACACTTTCACTGTATGAACCTGGACTGTGTGACAGTAATTAACATTTGATCCTGACCCTGCCTATTGGGAGATTTAAATTAATAAAAAGACGATGCTGTCAAGCGGCCTCTTTTATACATCACGGTGCTGACACATCACTTGTGTATCTTCGCTCACGACGTCTCAGACAAATCCCTTCACTCCTCTCGGCCAAAGAAATTTATCGAGACATCCTTGATGGCGCAGAGAGATCAATTTCTGGGTCATTGGCAGGAGGATGGAGGAAAGAAACTACGAGGTGGCACAAAAATAGAGAAATGAGAAGACCCCACTATGTCTTCGCTCACAATAATCCTGCCTTTAAGATGATTATTTGCTCTTCTTTTCAAATGAACACAGTAATCAAATATGATTCAGTTGTACAGTGTAACAAAATATTTTTCCCTCTTTAGGGTCTGTTAAGCAAATAATTAAGTAATTTTAGTGTCAATTGTCAAGACTATTTGACCTTTTAGCATGTCAACTGTGTTAGAACAATGAATAAAGAAAATTACAGTTTTTGCAATTTCACTTTTTTCCCAGGTACATTGGGAGTTGCATGGTGCAGGATTTACAGACGGAGCAGAAATGGCATTTTCTATGCAACTCCTGGCTGGCCATAGACATGGGTGATTGTTCCCTCGATAAAGTTTTTCCTGTTTCGACTGACGTTGATTTGAAGAGGTTCAGGTAAGGTTAAGGCATTGAGGAGCAGCAAAATCATACACACAAGGCTGAATGTGAAACTGAGACTGGGAATTTCCATTTGAATTTGAATGATAAGAGCGCAGATAAATTGCAAATCAAATGCAATAGCCTGTTTGGATTTTTGCTTTTGAAATATGACAAAGTCACATAAGAAAACCAGCAGGCATGTAGCTGTCACTTGAGCTCCCACTTTCATGCTCTTAAGGCTTGCAACATTTGAAAAATCTACCAGCACTCAGAGGTATTATTTGCAGCAACAGTTCCAACACGCAACTGCAACCCTGGCTGTCCTGACATGCCAGTACAGTTTAGTTATTAGTTGCATTAATTGCCTAGAACAAAAAAACTGTAAATGTGAGTTAACCTAGAAGGCTATTTTGTGTTACCCCTGCTCAGATTTTTAAAAAAGCATCCCAAAATTGAATTGTAAATGTTACAGGAAAATGCAAATTTAACAATTAAAAGCACTGAGTATACCTGATCAAATCACTGAAAAGCTACACTCACTGAGCTAAGCAGGCTACAGTACAGTATGTTATATATATTTCACATCTCCTTACAGACATATTTATAATTAATTTGAATTAAACTCAATTGAAGTGAAATAAATTGGAATAAAAATGTTACTTACCCCTAATCACTGCTGAGCATAAACAACCAGATGGTGATTGACTAAGGATTTATAAGTCTTTCTTTAGAGCCATGCTGAAGTTAAGCATGTTTAGAACTGAAAAAGGATTGAAAATGTGATGCTAATCCCTTATTAATTGGTAGTTCAAAAAGGATTTAACTGTTTTCATTTCACAATTTTACCCCTTGTTGCTTTTATTTTCCAGCAATTTGTTCTTCATGAAGACAACAAAGGCTTTCACTGACGGACACCTCTGGTACTCTGTGGTCAATCGACCACCGAGCAGCACCTTCACTTGTGTTCAGAGAGTTTCCTGCTGTTTTTCCCTGCTTCTCTGTACCATGTTGACCAGCATAATGTTTTATGGCATCCCGAAAGATCCCTCTGAGCAGACCATGGAGCTGGGTACAACACATTTTCATTGCATTATAAATCTGCAGTGCAGAACTTAGTCTCCCCCTTTTGACAGTGAGAGTACTTAGACAAAACTGTGGACACAATGCTTAGGACGTGTAGGCTTTGCCATACTGAGTTGCTGCCCCGCTACAATTGCTTGCCCCCTCAGCTGAAAAACTCATCACTACAGGTTAGCCAGCGAATATGGAAAGGTTGACCTTACAGTGATAGACTTAATCAGCATTGTGTGAACTTGTTTGGCAAGGGCTCGAATGTCACAGACTTTCATTTATATGAAAAAGGTTCTGCACTCTAACTTAGAGCTAAAGTTCTCTCTCTTATATGTACTTTTTTTTGTATAAGGCTTTTCTGTGCTTTTAATATCGGAACTATGTAGACTGCCTTATGGCCTTGTAAAGCTGCCGGTTCATTACTATATACATGCGTAAACATAAACATAAACCAGCCCTTGTGTGATTACCGGTAACTATAAGAAGTCAAAGACCAGCATTTTAAGAACATTCATTTATCAATTTGTGGACAACAAAAACATAAAACCATCTCTTTTACCTTTCTCTCTGTTTCCAGGTCACTTTAAGTTTACCTGGCAACACTTCAGGATTGGAATTCAAAGTTCCCTCATCATGTTTCCTCTGAATATCCTAATTGTTAGTATTTTCAGAAAAACTCCCAGGAAGGTGTCTATTAACAAGCACAAAACAAAAAAAACAGACACCCTTCAACACAATGTCAATATCACTTTAGACGTTGTCATCGAGGTATGTGCTTCATGTTTTTAAGGTAGATATTACATAGTGGCTGCTTAATTATCAGCATCCAAATGACATAATAATCAATTTTTATGGACTATGTACATTGCACTTAATTCTATATGTATATGTACATATTCAAAATAGTTATGAATATGTAAATAATAAACATATTGTATATTTTTGCATTTGAACATTTTCTTTCAGGATATCACAAGAATTGCTCGTTTACTGTCTAAGACTGTGAAAAGCAATAAACAATGCTTAGAATCCGAGTTAAGGCCTGGACAACAAGTTGATATCCACGCTGTCCTTTCTGTGGTGGAGGACTTCATCAAACAGAATAACAAAACCTGTGACACTGTCCAGTCCAAATCTTCGAGCTTTCAAATCCTCGCTCAGCCTCAGCTACCAGGTGTGTACCTAGTACTTTATATCATTCTGTCTTGTTAAGGTACAGTGCTCTAATAGGGTAGAATGGATGTTAAAGAGAGTTGGAGATCTGTCCCCTTTCCAAGCAAATGTTAGTACTGGGCTAAGCATGAAAGTGCAATAGTCCTTTAAAGGAGCTTAATGCTGAGGCTTTCAGAGTCCAATTCTAAGCTATAGATGCACTTGCTGGTCAATTGACTTGAATTCACTGAAAAAACGTATTATTTTGCCTGTAACAAACCAAAAACAACAACAGTGCAACATACTTCTCAGTTCAATTTGCAAACAACAAAGGCACAATCTTATATTCTGTCTCAAATATAATCATATTGTCACTGTATAAATGAAGAGGTGCAAAGAGTATTTCCCAGAACATGTATATTTTTTGCTTGGAATGTACACAGAAAATCTCATTGCGTTTTAGCTTTTCAACACAAGAGGTGAAAGAAAGTGTCTAAAATTCATCGTCCATTGTAGTGAAGCACTGCTCGACTTTGTTCCATAAACGTCACATACAGTTTGGTACAATTCCCTGTGTGTTTTCTGACAGACCACCAAGTGATTTTTAAAGTAATTGCATATGAAGTCAATGAAACAATGCAACTAGATGTGAATTCCCATGTTGATGTAAATTTAAGCAAATAACTGTCAGCATGAGTTAAAAAAAAGTTTTTTAAACTTGTGTGAAATCCTGTAGTTTTATGAATCAGCTTCATAAATATACAGAGAAAAAATGAAAAAGGAAGCAAGAGAAAGAACCAAAGTTTCTGGTTCTGTGATCAGTCAGAAGCTGAACACAAACACACAGGCACCTTCCCATAGTCCGTGCATCTGTTGCTAACTAGCATACAGCTAACATACGGTTGGTTCAAAGGCTGGTTGGCGAAGAATAAACATGGACTGCACAGATGGTCCAGCACTTTGCTTTTTGTCTGAACACACCTTTATAAATGCATGCCTCAACTCTTAAGGACTGCGACCAGTAACAAAGCAGAGGCAGTTTACCATTTCAGAAATGCTGTACATTTTCAGAAGGCAGCGCTCATGGGCATCCAGGGGCAACACTGGAGGGGATTCAAAAGAAGAGCTACTATCTATACCGGCAGCTGTGTCACATTGAAAAAAAGCTGAGTCAACTGGGACCCTCTGGCTTCCCCAACCCACACAGCTACAGCCAGGCTCTGCAGCAAGTCCGGGGCATGAAGGGCCTTCTTGAAGATCAGCTCAACCTAGACGACCTCACTCAGAAGAGGTACAGCAGTCACGTTTATTTAAACAACCACATTGATGGATTTGCATGTGTTAGCTTGTTTTCTACAAATTATGTGTGTTCATATTTACTTTCCGAATAGCCTATACCAGAGCCTTGAAAGTTGATAGATAGTGAAGAATCAATCGCATTTATGGGTTTTTTTGTCTTTTTAGTTGTTTGTCTTTATTATTATTTAGGATAATGCAGTTGGTAATGATGACCACTTTGAAGACAGTTTTTTTGTTGTGCTTTCATGGAAACCCCTGCTTTCAAGATAATTAAGAAAGTAGCTGCTGATAGGTATTGTGTTTAAGGGTTGTGAATAAAATGCTGAGTAAGTTTCAAAAATGGCCGGCAGTAATTTTTAAAACATTTTGGAAAATACTTGATGAGTATGAGATGATTAAAAGTTAGACAATAAGATTGATACCACTCTGACGTCTTTATGGTAAATAAGAAGCTAGAGCCAAGTGCTAGTTAGCTTAGCTTAGCTCTGTCCAAAGCTTAAAAACATTGCCTACCAACATCTAGGGGTCTTATATTTTTGTTTAATCGGCAAACAGAAATGCAACAACGATGCTGGAACTTTTTCTTAGCAACATCATGGTGACAAGTCATAGCACCCAGCAGCTATTCACCTAGAAATTGTTACAGCATGAAACCCTCCATAAAACCACAACTTGCGATTTTATATTTGATTAAACAAATGTTAAAATGTGTAAATTGTGAAATTTCGAGGTGATAGTCAGAGGATATTGTCATATTTTGCACAGATCCATGCTAGTTGTTTCCAGACTTTATGCCAAGCCAAGCTAATCAGCTGCTGACTGTAGCTTCATATTGAGCATACAAACATAAGCGTGGTATTCATTTTCTCATCTAATTGTAGGCAAGAAAGGTGGTTGATCCTGTTTCCCAAAACGTTGAACTATTGATTAAGAAATACACATTATCTGTGGATGCCAAAACATTCAAGAAGTTCATATCACACATGTACATCATAACTGGTAATGTGACATACATATTTTAAAGCATAATGTAGGAGATTTCCATTTAAAATATCATTTAAAATAAAAAGCCTCAAGTTAAATGTAGTTCAAAAGAGAGCTGTATTTGAGTAAACTGTATTTTTCACTGCTTTCACTTGCAGGTTGATCCCTGCTGACAGCGCTGGAGATAATGGTGTGATGAAAAGGTTGTGCTGTCATGGAGAGCTACCCTGGTGGTTTATTTTTGTCGGCTGGCTGCTAGTGATTGGAACCAGTGTTGTAGCGGGATATTTCACAATGCTTTATGGGTTGAAATATGGGAAGGAACGCTCTGTAAGCTGGTTGGTATCCATGGTAGTCTCCTTTTTCCACAGTCTCCTTGTCATTCAGCCATTGAAGGTGAGAATAAGGTGCCTTCCCCTCTTTATGAAGAACCACAAACCTCACTAGTCATCACTAGCTCATTATTTACAATACAATAAATTTATTGAATTTTAAAAGCTTAATTTCACAGTTTTCTGAAATTTTCCTACAGGGGTCATTCTTTATGAGCACATACTAAATATTACATTTGGAAAGAACATCTGTATTCACTTATGTGCATGTCTTTTACCACAGGTAATAGGTCTCGCAATCTTCTTTTCACTTATAATAAAGGAAGTTGAGGTGGAAGATTTTCGAAATGTGCCATTTGTAGAAAATGACGGAAATAAAGGTAAAACATAAAAACTCCCAAAATATACTTTCATGGTCTCAACTTGCAATTTCTTTATCATCACACATGTTCAGGTTTTCGCCTAACCTCAAAAATTACGCTTAACCTACAGGTGATACGGACCAACAAAAAATCAGACGGGACAGCAGTCTTTATGAACCTCCTTCTCCTGCAGACGTTGAGAAAATGAAAAGGAACAAGATTATGAATCAGAAAGCCATTGCCCTCCTCAGGGAGATTTTGAGTAAGTAGAAATACTATTTTACTAGGGTATTTCAGAAGGGAAGATTGGTATATGGTACCAGATCCTGAAACAGCATGCTACGACTTTGACCTTTGGGCCCTGGTTTATCATCATAAAAATGATGATTCAAATGATATACAATATGCGCTGATCTGTGAACGTAAACATCACATCTGTCACTTTAAATCAAAATGGCTTTAACCAAACCACCTGGTAAACTGAAGTCAAGCTTTTCAATATACACCCAGCTTTTCTGAACCTGCCATATTTCTAGCCTGCTTTCCTATTTAAATTGTGCATTTATGGTAAATACAAACTAAATACAACCCCGAATTAATTATTAATTATTCACTGAGGTGAAATCAAAGATTTTTTATCATAAATTGAGTCCATCTGCTTCAATTTAAACTGACTCCCCAGTTATCACAATGTGAATTTAGAGAACTATGATGTGCTCATTTCTTGCAGCCTACATTGGGTTTCTGTGGATGTTGTTGCTGGTGGCGTACGGCCGGAGAGATCCCAATGCTTTTTTCCTGAACCAACACATCCAGGATAGCTTCAGCAGAGAGATCTCAGACAGCATGAATCTCGGAGATGTGTTCACTTGGGCCAACACATCTCTATTAAATAACCTTTTTGGAGTTTATCCAGGTAAAAATGTATCCTTCATGAAGAAGAAAAAGAAGTGATTGATCAGTGATCATCTTAGTAAGAATGTGTCAGAGTTGCATTGTGTTTCTGTTTTTCTATTCTCAATTCTTAAACAAGCAGTTATTTTCCAAGCTTCATTTATTCATCGATTCAACATAGCAAGGAAATTGTTGTTGTTGTTTTGCCAAAGTGTTCAACTCCACAGCTGGAGAGCAGGATGCGTTCTCATTTCTTATTGTATGTATTTATTATAGTGTCACACACAGTTAGGATTTGTTCATCAGTAGGCTAATCCCAGAAGGAGCAATTAACAGGGGCCAGGTGATTCCAGTGACCCCACCTTCTCAGTGGATAACTGTATGTCTTTAAAGACACTACAGCATGACTGTATTTTTACCCAGACATAATGAATTCACGCACAAAAAAAGACTGGGTCAAAATGAACACTATGGTGGGTTAACTTTACCCATAGTCGATAGGTAGAAAACCACGCAAGACAAGAAGTTTTTTGTGTGTTTGTGTTTAATTTTTCATAGTAGTGTTTATATTAGGGTTATGGTATATACTCTAGCTCTTTACATATGAAGATTTGCTAATGACTTAATAACGTGTATCCATTGCAGTTTTGAATGCTAAAAACAATTTATATTAAAATGTACAAAGTAAAACTGCCTTTCACTCTTTATGTCAAAACTGTGTAGGATGCATCGTCTTGTTAGAATAAACTTTACTGGAAATGTCAATGGACAAAACCAGCTAGGGTTTCAATGCTTATGTTAAGTGTGAACACGCATCTTGGCAATGACCACATTTTATTTTGGCTAAATAACACAACAGTTATGTAAACTATAACACCAACACTGCACCAAAATATTGCCAACCCACTGTTACCAGGTAAAGTTAGGCCACTATGACGCTCCTTCAGTATTGACCCAAACTGGGTAAAATTTTTCGCGTTGTGAAAACATAATTTTAGTACAGAATGGCAATCATCCACATTATTAATTTTAGTAAGCACAAGTGACAATTAAAAATAGTGAATATGTTACAAATGCAAACTGGCCCTAGTTCAGAAGCATTTTCTGGATGAAACACCCCTGAAATTATCTTTGGCTCAGACCAAACCAAGTGGCCAAAGTGTCTAAATGTGTAACATGCAGTAGTGTTGTAGTCAAGACCACCCAAACCGAGACCAAGTCAAGACCAAGACTAGAGTTTATTGAGACCGAGACAAGACCAAGACTTTTAGGGGTTGAGAGCAGTCGAGACCAAGACCGAGGGAGGGCGAGACCAAGTCAAGACCAAGACCAGTTCCCTGCATTGCATGGCATGAAATAAAATGTGGAATGAGATCATAGGTAGTTCACAAATTGATCTGAAAGATCCACATTCCCATTAAAACACCCACATACAAACTCCAAGAGTTGAAATCAACGTAAGCATCGCAGGGAGGGGGGACAGTCGTTAATTAGGGTTATTGGTTGCATTTGAAGTTGCATTTGGAAGTTTTACTTCCAATCAAAGTTAGGATGTTAACAAATCAGACAATGTAAAAGCAATTTATTGATATTCCCAAAGTTATGGTCTTGACTGGTCTCGAAATAAAATCCAGAGTCCTCAATGAACGAGACAAGACCGAGTACAAATGCGGTCGAGACCGAGACAAGACAAGGACCATTAATATGTGGTCTTAAGACCCAATTACCACAACACTAACATGCAGAGACCACATCCCTGAAATGTCTTTGATTCAGCAGTGAATGAATAAAACACAAACAAATAAACTGTAAAATGCTGTGTTCCAGGATTTATCACAGATGGAAACTCCAAGCTGGTGGGTGATGCCCGCCTCCGTCAATTGAGAGTGCAGAAAAACTCCTGTCAGATTGCAGGCTCCATGCTCCAGTTTGTACCAGACTGTCATGCTCCATATTCATGGGAGGTGGAGGACATGGGCTCCTATGAGCCTGGCTGGAACCACTCCGTGAGGGATAATATCTCTACGAGCACCTCCAGCCCATGGAAGTACCAGACACAGGCTCAGCTCAGGGCCTACCCTGTCTGGGGTGAAATGGTGCTCTACAGGGGGGGAGGCTTTGTATCGGAGCTCGGCCCGGATTTACAAAATGCCAGCAAGTATGTGCATTAGCAAAACTGAATTGCATTAATACAATAGATTTTTACCGGACTGCGAGTTTACATTGTCCTCTGTATGCTATGTAGTATTGTTTGTTTGTTTGTTACAAGTCTGATGTAAAATACAATTTAAAGTCTAACACTTGAATAGAGAAAACAGGCCTATTTTAACCCTCCAGTTAAACTATTCTTGTGTACCACAGCACCCTTGAGTATCTGTTCAGGAACAAATGGCTGGATACGTACACAAGGGCGATCTTTATAGAGTTCACCGTTTACAATGCTAATGTGAACCTCTTCTGCATCGTCACACTCTTGTTGGAGACCACAGCTGTAGGTAAGGTTGAGTGTTTCCTGAGGGATGCAATTACAATGCAATTACAGGTTTGTCAAAGGTGCAGATGTGAATGCTGCGGATATATAACATTATTGTTAGACAAAGCTGTTCATCATAGGTCATACTGTCATTTTTTATTGCTTATTGCAATTTTACTGTAATTTCAGTCTGTGATTTTATTCTCTTGTTATACTTTGACATCGATGTATGGTACATTATATGAATGAGATGCTAGCCTGCATGTGTTTACATAAAATTGTCCCTTTTTTTTTTTACAGGAGCATTTCAGTTCCACAGTGAGCTGCACAGTGTTCGTCTTTACACATCAACTGGCGATCTTTACTCCTTTGTCGTGGCTGCTGAGGTCATATACTTGCTTTTCATCCTGTATTACATGTTCTTGCAGGTAAATACCAACAGGACTACAACAGAATGTGCTTCCGGACCCTTTAATTGATTGGTTTTTTGTTATCCATGCATCTCTTTGAATTCAGATAGTGAATGAGACTTGCGGGGGTTTCTGTATTTACTAAGGGCTTCACAAACTCCTACTAGCCTCATAATATACAGGCTGGGCAGGATCAGGCATGACATCAAAAGGGCCTTCAGCACCTGCCCTTTTTCTTCCTCAAGAGAATGTGCCCATTTTTCTGGGGTGCTTTTTTAAAAATAAATATATTCCTGTTTGTGCACAGCTCTTCTGTCAAACAAACATATTTATTGAATAAAAAGTCTAAATATCAGGTTGGGAGACGAGACTTTGTCGAGTGACCTCTATTCCTCCGCCTCTCCCCGCAGCAGAGCAGCACGCACAGACAGGCATGGTCTCTGTGTGAACTGATTATTTTGTAGAAATAAGTATAAAACAACTGCATGAGTGTGAGGGAATTTAAATAGATTGGTAAGGAAGTTGTGTTAATATAACACAGAGTTGTGTTAATATATTTAATGTTTTGTGAAAAATAATAATTATAAGAAGTGCAGTTTTTTTCACTTGAGCCTCTCTGCACGTCCCTGGGCAGGATGCTTTTTGGTTTATGACCAAATTTCCAAGAACACACCACTGTTGTTTGGCACTGCGACTGGCGAGAATCAATCGAACAAGAGGATCAACATTCGAGAGATTAACTTGAGGTTGAATTGCTGACGAGATAGAGCTGGGCAATAATGATAATTATCGCAATATAATTTTCCTCAATGACAATATAATAAATCTTAAATATATCGTCAATAAATATTTGCCTTAATTCATTTGAATCACAGACAAATTAGCACTTAATCTTTCTTAAAAAACAACAACAAAAATTATTTTGTTGAAGAAAAGGGACTGAAAAGATATTTACTAATCATATTTTTTGAAAAAAGATTTTATCGTAATAGTTTTGAATGTTCTATCTCAGATTTGTTGAGTGATCCGCTCTTTGGCATCAAGTGTTTGTCACATTCTGACCATAAAGAAAAGTTTAACAATATAATTAACCATCTGGGTCCTTCGATTTTCATTCAGAAACAAAAATCAGCCTTTAAATTTAAAAGAAATATTGATTTGAGTTATATATTGTGATAATTATAGAAATCAAATTGTATGAAATTATTTTATCGTGATTGGCCATATCGCCCAGCCTTATGATGAGGTAACTTTTTTTAAAATGTGCAGGTGGTTAACTCATCAAACTTCTAGTAACTGATTTGTTTGTAAAACCAAAAAGCAGTTTACAGCTGACTCAGAGCATTGACTTACACTCCACAGTTGATGTTTTCTGTAATCCTTCACTAACAAATTAAACAGGACAGTAGATTGCCCGCTTTGATTGTATCCTTATGTAACTTATTACAGGAAATAAATATCTAAAGACATTAGCAGTAATGTTTTTCTGATGTTTAGGTGGTCAAAAGGATGTAATAGCATTAATCTGTGATTCGTGATTTTCTTTCATATAGCAGCTCTTATTCGCATCATAATCACGGCTCGTTTTTCTTTGACACCACAGTTTCTTTTAGTACAGCACTGAGTCATATCTCAATTACACTTTTCCACTTTCTTCAGGGCCATTTTGGTTTATGTTCAATGGTGTTCAGCATTAACTGTATTTTCTGAGACAGTAAGGTCCCACAGTGTGTCCATCTTTGATACAGAGATACACAAAAACACTTGTCTTGTGAGTAGTTTGGTTTCAGTAAGATATGCACAGAAATGACTTTTTGCTGCACTTGACAAAATGTAACTGATTATTTGAAATGTATGACACCTTTGAAGTTCCCCTAGAAGTTTGGATATCAAATAGCATTGAGATCAAATACTCAGAAGGAGTCACTCAGAAAAGTTGCATAATTAATCAGATTGTGTAAATGCACATTGCAGTAAATGTCCAGCAAGTGTGAACTGACTAACAAGATAAAAGCGAGGGGGAAATGTACTGAACAGTATTACAGTAACTTTAGTAAAACAGAACAAGGGGAACGTGTTGCTCTCAGGAGGAGGCTAGAAGGAGAACATACTGGCACCCTCTACAGTGGAAATCTGCATCTTTCCACTGCAGAAGCTCTTTCTACAAACTGGAGGAGAAACTAGTTTAAATGGGTAATATTATGACATCAAATAAAAAATTCTGTTTTAATCTAATAGTATACAGTTAGTATGTTAATATATATATTTTTTTTTATTTCACTATGTAGGCTATTGTCATTTTAGGTAATAGTATACTATACAGCCCACTACTTGTATAAAATTAATGAAGTGAATTGAAGTGACAGTGGCGAGCACATTTATTTTATGAAAAGTTGAACATGTTTCAACAAAAACCACCTGATATGGCTGAATATCCAGCTAGCTATACCCACAACCTCCTTATCATCTCCCTACTGTCTTCTGTCTCACCGCTCCAGCTGCTCACATCTCTGTCTTTGTTTTTGTAACAAGCTGCTCAAGCGGCCACCGAGCGACCCGTCCACTGGGATTTCTGTCGGTGCTCCTGTGGCTAGCTGGCTTTTCACCTACCAGAGTTTCAACAACTCTCGTTTGACTGACAGCAGCTTTGCGTTGTGTCCTGCCCGCTACTCAAGGGGGGGGGGAGTTTTGAACGATTAGCGACACGGCGGTCATAGTTACGGTAGTTACTCACACATTGTGCTCCTAAATCATTTTTCTGGTTTGCATGCATCGCAGAAAGTGAGTTTTAGTGGAAGCTGTCAAACATCTCATCATTATATTATAAATTACTATCTGGGAAATAGACACAAATCACTATTTGTGGAAATTTTCAAACATGGTTTTCAAAATATCTCTTACTTATGTTCCTGTCTTTTTTCCCTTCATGGGACGATGGAACAAACTGGTTCCTGTTACATATGACAATCCTCTCTCCTTTTCCTGGAAGGGCAAATTAATGAAGCAGCAGCGGTGGGCTTACTTTAGGAGCAAGTGGAACCTTCTCGAGCTGACTGTCATCTTACTGAGCTGGAGCGCCGTGGCTGTCTTCATCAAGAGGACCTTGCTTGGGAACCGCGATATCACCTACTACCAAAACCACAAAGACAAGTGAGACAAACAAATCCTGCACTAAAACTAATGTGATGTGATGTAATGTGCGATCTTTAGTTCATAGAGCTCGAAAAAACTAGCCGACACCTTAACAAGTTAGAAAATTTGCAGTGGGTTTAAATTAGGTGTTTGCTTTCTAAGGCTTTTTTATTATTGTGAGCATGTTAGCATGCTAATGTTAGCATTTAGCTCAAAGCATCACTGTACAGTAGGCTAAAGTCTGACAGAGCCGCTAGCATGGCTTACATTGTTGTACAGCGCTCTTTTTTTTCCATTGGCAACAGCTGACATCTTCACTGTGTATGTAGATTTGCCAGTTTTTATGAGACAGCCACAGCAGACTCAACACTCGAGTATCTGATCGCCTTCCTGGTCCTGCTCGCGACCATCAAACTGTGGCATCTGCTCAGACTGAACCCCAAGATGAACTTGGTTTCCGCTGCACTGCAACGGGCCTGGAATGAAACTTCCAGTATTATTGTTGTCATTGCGATCATGCTTGTGGCGTATTCCATTGCTGTGAGTATCTTGCCCTTGTCTCTCTAATTCTTATTCATTACATGGGCAAGAATATTAAGTCACTGCTATTATCTGAGTCACTGGGGCTTACAGAAAACAATGTTGTGGGATTATTTGTCACAAAATGGAACTTTAATTTTATTATTTAAAATGAATCAAGAGAAAGTATCCTCAGGGATATAGACATTTAAATATATAATTGTCAGAGAAACTCACATGGCCACACAACTTACCAGACCCTTCCTTAGTGTGTCTGGGTATGCAGGTGGTAATGTGGGAGGTTGTCTTTAATGTATATATGTATGAGGTGTATGAAATACTTATTACCTAACTTTCCAGTCCATTATCTCCAAAATGATTTTACTGGTTCCCCTGCTGATGTAATGGTTCTTTCTAGTGCAACTTGATTTATGGCTGGAGGATGTCATCTTATAGAACCGTAGCGGACGCTCTCATGACCATCATCCTTTTGCAGATAGGCATCTTTAACTATGACGAGGTACGTGCGATCTTCCCCTACTCACAAATTTTCTGTCTAAAATACTTGAATATGACATTTTCTGGCATAATAAAACGGGCATGAATAAGGAGTTTTCCTTTCTTTCCTGATGTGGCCAATGTAAGTGCAAACTGATGTTGATATCTCACTGATGTTTGCCAGGTCTTGGATAGCACTCCCTTGCTTGGTGGATTACTTTTTGGTTCCTGTATTGTGTTCATGACATTTGTGGTGCTTAATCTCCTCATCTCAATGGTCCTCATGGCATTCACCCAGGAGCAAATATATCACAAGGTAATTTTAGTCATTATTCTAAAGAAATAATCAAAGTTTTCAGATAAAAAATCCAAGTACTCTTTTCTTTGTATTGTTTTGATGCAAAATATCCATTCACAGATGCATGTATCAAATAAACAACTCTGCTTTCATCAACCTAATTTCTAGCCACAGCAGGCAAGAGAGAAGGAGTTAGCGTAATCACATCAGAGCTAAAAGGAGACAGAATACATCAGGTGGTCAGTTTTCAAAAGAAAACTAATATTGCTCCATGACTGTTGGGTGTGTAACTATAGGCAACTCATTGCTCTAGCATCTTTAATATGATAAAGTCAGCACAGAGAAATGCAGAGGTGTATTTGACACTGTTAAAAGATGTTTTTCAGGGAAAAACATGCATGAGGAGTCTTTTGCTGTGTCTCAGTTCGCGATAGGCTGGGGGTGTGTGATTCGCTGAGGAGTGAGAGGATGTGATCAGTGATGGCTCCAGTGTCCACTGAAAGGAGACATTATGAAATTAAAGTGTCATTGAGAAAATGCCATCATGAGAAAAAATTAGACTGTTGTAAATTGCGATTTGAAATCTTTTTAATAATATGTTGGGTTTTTTTTTCCTTTTTTTGATGATTGGCTGCTTTATAGACTTTTTTCTGTAGTCATGAAAAAAAATCTGTTTTATTAAAGCCATGGTACACCTGCAAAACGTCTCTGTGTAGCAAAGGAAACACAATAGTTTAATTGTTATTCTCTGTGGGGTTGTTCTCTGAATTGCTTTCCCATTTTGAGGTGTCTGTATTTCACACCGCTTCATGGAAAGCAATTAGATACTAACTGAGATCACAAGCGCTCATTGATGTGTCCTTAGCAATTTGTCAAGAGCATCTCTCCAATATTTCTTGCCACTCTAAAACTGAATTTGCCATGTCTCCTGTCTTACCCAGGCCTCAGACGAGGAGGAGATTGTTGACCTGATGCTGAAGAAAATCTGCGGTCTTTTTGGGATCAGATATAACAATACAAATGACACCCGGGGGTCTGATGTGAATGAGGGCAGTGGCTTGACCCTTAATAACAGCAGAAATATCATTAATTCCTCCGCTGATGTAAAACAACATCTGACAACTCACAGAAACCCATAGGAACATAGCTTTATATTTGTTGCGTTTCACATTTGAGAGTTTTGAATATTTTGTTTGCACACGCTCATTTATAAATGTTCATTATTCTTTGCTTGTTTCCCACTGGGAGTTCAGAGCATGCTGTGCTGATTTGAGAATATGGTGTGATAGATATCCCATCAATAATTATAGTGCACATTGTTGGTGTGAATGAGATGTTTACTTAAGAGAACATTTTATTCACAGCAATGTCTTGCTCATACCTACAGTGTATATGTGGCAGTTGGTTAGATGTAACATACTTATTTCATAAACTCCATTATAAAAACTTACAAATCAATATAAATATAAAGCATGCTTCACCTTGTCTAATAAAATAATACTGTATCACATTATCCTGATTTACACCACTAAAATATTTAATAACATAAAAGGAAATAAACCTCTAGGTTTGTTTTAATGCATGATGTAATATATAATTATTATTTGTTTTGTTGTGTATTTGATTATTTTGTATTATATATCAAATGTACGTGAGCACTGCATAATTGTGTTTTGTCAATTAAAGAGTGGTGTGGCAATATGGCTAACGCTCTATTTCCATTTCTGTTAATCTTACAGTGATTATGGTGATTTTTTTTTAAATTTGTAATCCATAGGATTTCAATTTCCTATGATCGATATCGATGTGGCAAAACCCTGGGCAAGAGTGGTTTAATACTACAACTACTTTGAGCAGAAGAGTTACTGACCTGTTAATAGAGAGTCAAACTAATTCACAGTCACAAATAATTACAACCTGATTTCTATGGAGTGAATTTTCTGCCAAAACTCAACAAACAAACATAACATGTTTTACAAATTCCCTACGATTCCCTAACAAACAGTTTGGTTGGCAAAACCAGTTAGTATGATTTTACATCTCTGATGAAGCGCATCACACTTGTCTCATCCAGTACAGTCCCAAACAGGGTTCTGTGTCTATCAGATGGTCTGAAGTGGATACTAATACCATATTATTTCATCCTGCGCGCATCGTCAATACAGCAGGAGTAATGTTGGACACTCAGAAGCTGGAAGTTGCATGAACTCTGCAGGTCACACAACTGTGCGCTTGTGTGACCCTTTATTTCTCTCTATTTTTGTCTTTTTCATAAGTTCAAGAAAAGAAGGAATGAGGCCATAAGCGGAGGTAGCGTGGAAGTTTTGGCTCTATTGATTGTAGACACGGCCGAATGAATACGCTGCTTGCAGCTCCCCTTCAATATCAAATGAAACAGTCCCTTCTCTCCTGGTTTCAATGGTAAACCACCACAAGAGTGGCAATTGCAAACAAAAAACACTATATTCTAAGGAGACACGTTTTAATAAACAGAAAGTAACATTTCTATTTCAAACAATGGCGAACTTATTAGCAAATTTTAACAAAACTCCCGTCACCGTCACGCATCACTGAAATTCTGAGGGACGGACTTGGGCCACTATGTATCACACCGGACTCACACAGGCTCCGTGTGCGCAGCGGTTTAGTTCTGGTCCACTGGAAGCCTCTCAGAAGCCTTTCAGCAGTCTTTAGCCTGCCCCTCGTTAATGACTTGATATGTCCTTTTTGTGCTTCTACTATCTTCTTCACGTTCCTCATCTTGACGGGTGCATCTAGCAACTACCACAGGGAGCAATTCAGAATAAGATAGGATTTTGCTGATATGTTTAGATTTTGTTGATTTGGTGATTATTGCTTGCTTTTTGTGCTTGTACTATAATTAAGAAGGCTACTTAGTTATATTGTTTCTTTTTTTGTCTCATTTAACTGTGCTTACTGTTGATATATGAGACTGGCGCCCCCAGAACATTTTCCAAGGGGTGGCCAAATGGGGCCACTATAAATCCTGGGGTGGCACACTAAACAAAAAGCCATAACTGAATTTCAGGAGTTCTATTATGCAGTATATAGACAAGTCGAATACTACGGAAAAATATGAGTTAAGGAATCACAGACTTAATTACTTTGGTTTCTTATTTTACAGTTAATATTGTTTAATGTCCATAGGCTAAAACCAGTTGACATTCCATAAAAATCCTGTTTAATGTGTTATCTGTATGTGTTAGGCAATGAATTGTTAATTAAATAGGCTAGTTGACCTTTCCCTTAAAAAGACAAATACAGCTCAGTGCATTGACGGGGAGGAACAAAACATTTACTGGGAACAAGCCTACTCAAGATTACAGACATCATGGAGCATAAATATTTTTCTAGGGCTGCAGCTAACGATGATTTTAGTACTCAAAGCTTCTATAGATTATTTCAACGATTTATCAATGCGTCACTTAATTACTTTCTCTCTCTTCTTCCACTTTGCAAACAGCTCCATCATAATCACGTTATGTTCACAGCGTAAGCGCGACATGCGAAAGTAACACATGTCCGTGCGAAACAGTGTGCTATATAGTTATAAGGATTAAACGAAGCCTCAATGAAAAGAATTTGCGTTGATGCATTTTAGGTGGAGACTGGCACAGTGAGCTGGGTGAGTTTGGTGCTGAGGATGTCCGGGATGATGGTGTTGAACACCGAGCTGAAGTCCACGAACAGGATCCTTGCATATGTCCCTGGAGAGTCGAGGTGTTGCAGGATATAATGTAGTCCCTAGTTGACTGCATCATCCACAGACCTGTTAGCCCTGTAGGCAAACTGCAGGGGTCCAGCAAAGGGCTTGTAATGACCTTCAGGTGGGCCAACACCAGTCTTTCAAAGGACTTGTCAGGGCGACAGACCTGTAGTCATTTAATCCAGAGATGGAGGGTTTTTTGGGACCGGGATGATTGTGGAGCATTTGAAGCCTGAGTGAACTTTACATAGTAAAGTCAGTAAATCCAGTGATCTGTTGAAGATCTGTGTGAAGATGGGGGCCAGCTGGTCTGCACAGATTTTCCGGCAGGATGGTGACACACGTTGGGACCAGGAGCCTTCTTGATCATTTTCCTCAGGAAGAGCTGGCTCACATCCTCTTCACAAAACATGAGTGCAGGTGAGGGGTCGGAGAGGAGGGTGTCAGCATGACAGTGGGGGAAGGTGACTCTTTGAAGATGGTGTTGGAGCTGAGGAGAGGTGTCACTGTGGGCTTCTCAAACCTAAAATAGAAACCATTCAGCTGGTCAGCCAGTCGTTGAGTACCAGCAGTGTACCACCGACATACGAGTCTGTACAGTATTTTATTTAGAAAATTGACCAGATTCTCTGTTGTTTCTGTGTCTGACTTCCTGCCCGGTTCATCTGCTCTGTGCTGCTTGACGCTGGGACACACTGCAGCGCTTCTGATGTGAGCACTTACTAGAATGGCTGTGATTAACTCCGGGAGCCAAGATGCAGATGGACCCAGTGAACTTTTGGAGTGCGTCCGGGGTCATGTAAACTTGGTTTAAATGATGGCAACAGTTGGGTCCCATGATCAAGCCCCGCCCCCACTGTGCTGATAGTCTAGCTCCGCCCCCGGCTGAGGCAGTCAAAGCCACTGGTTAATTGAGTCTGCAGTTTGCATAGTTAAAAAAATATTTTCCTCTTGAGATAAGTGAGCTTAAGAATTAACTGAAATAAAAGGTCATATTTGTCCGTCACCCAGACTGGAGATGGTGCATCTTTGTGGCTCAAATTGCCATTATTTCTGTCTGGCTGTTTAGATTACTCATACACCTCATGAATAATCCTATATGTATATAAAAAAAATTCCAATGTAATTTCTGCCTGGATTATGTTGCCTGGTAAAACAATTGACATTATGTGACATTCATATGTTGATTATGATGTCATATGTCCCACATGTTGTTGATCATTGATATATGTTACAGTTAAAGTCCATGTGACTACGAGTCAGCATTACCATTTTCAGAATTACGTCTTTGCTTTAATACTTCTTTTCTTCTTTTAGTACAGTTTAGTAGAGAACAGTTGTTTAAGCTTCTTGTGTCTTTTCCTTTGGCATGGGACAGTGCAGGGGTACTGTTTGCTTTGGCTTTGAAAGCCTAAGATAAAAAAAAACCTGCTTTGAGTCATGCTGTAAGGAATGATGAAGATTACAACAACATAATTAAAGATAATAGAGCGCTAAGCTTCCACAGGAGAAAATTAATGAAAGACGTTCACAGTTAACCTGCTTAATGATTTCCAGTACCACAAATTCAGTTCCATTCACCTCCATTGTACTCGGAGAGGCAGATGTCTCTGAGTCCTGAAATGAGAAACAAGACAAAATGATGCATGTTGCACTTACGCAATGTTGTATGTAATGTATGCTTATGTTGTGTGCTTAATGAAAAGAGAATGACATAGCTCACAGCTTCAGGGGTGAAAAGAAAATTAGGGATAAAATGCATTAAGTGTTTTAAATGGAAACTGAACGACAGAATTACTACAGTCAGTGACTCATAGATCTACTCACTCAGAGAGGAGACTGGCACACAGAGGGGCATTCAGCCATGCTTCTGTGTAGGTGCACGTAGCACTGTGATCTGTATGTGTGTGTTTGTTCGCTGTACTCTTACCATACTTTAACTTGTAGTCACTTAAGATGTTACAGCCTTGGGGCCTGTGGAAATAAAAAATTATGAATGATTACATTCCTGGGAAGGTGTTATTATAGGAAGTCGAGGGTTGTCTCTCTCTGTCACTCAGACAATGTGTGATGAAGAGATACTCCTGCGGAAATTCACTTTAGCTCTGCTGGTGGGCATGAATGACAATGAGGTTTTTGTTGCAACCAAAAAGCCTCTCTGCCGGTTTCCAAACCACTTCCTGCTTCTCAAATCGCTCTCTGACTTCTGCCAAAAGAAAATCCACATGCTGGTCTCCTCTGTTGTTAATGCACACACCAGCCTCCAGACACAGCCTGCCTATTGCCTCCCTAGTGGACATATTCACTTTGTACAACACGAGTTAAAGAGATTTTGAGTTCAGTCATTTCAGTTATCATGTATCCAAACTTGGAGCCACAATCATGGGCATTGTTGATTAACCTCCCATTAATCATGAACATTATTCCTGCCATCCATACTGTTTTTGATTGCACATGAGAATGTTTTAAATAATCCATAAAACTACAACACAATATTAAATTGAACAATCATCTGTGTTATGTCTGTGGACCAGACATTAAAATGAGGAACAGGTTCAACTAACTACTGTGATGAAGACAGCTTTAGCTTTGTGCTTTAACGATAGCTTTGGTGTGTGGACAGAGGAAGCCACTCCGTGAATGTTATTCAATTTGTGGGAAGGATCAGCATACTCATTGGACCTTAATTCATCCTCTTACCTTCCAAAATGTTAATGTTGTATATAATCACATTAGGCAGTGGGGGGAAGCACAGGAACACCATTCTGGGAGCAAGTAAGTCCGGAGGTTCCTGCACAGATTTCAAAAATCTATTTAATGTTTTCATAGGGGGAATTAGCTCATAGCATGTTCATGAAACAAATAAAATTTATTGTACCTGAACGCACCACAAATCCAGCTCTTGTTCAGACAACCAATGGGAAGGTGTCATTGCAGGGTCCCTGTAAATGTAAATGCTCTGTACTTGTATAGTGC